GATACATAAATGGTAGTCTATTCATACAAAGAAATAATACTCAGCAATAAGAACAGAATGATTTTAATTAAAGATTAAACTTAATAAAGATAAACTTGAAACAGGATAAAACTTAAATACCTTATGCTGAATGAGAAAACTGAGCAACAAGAGAGCATGTGCTAAACTATTTATCTGAGCTAATCTCTGGGAAGGAAATCAGTCAGGCTTGCCTGGGAGATAGTGGGTGAGATTGGCTGGGAAGGGGCACCAGGTAACTATCTGAAGTGATGGAAATGTGCTTCACCTTTATTGGGATAAGAGTTACTTTGGCATATATATTTGTCAAAACTCATCACACCCTTCATCAAACTCTATGCTTAGAATCTGTGCACTTACTGTGTACAATTACACTTCAATGAAGAAAAGGGGTGTACCTTATAGCCTTTCTCTTGGAGGTATATTTCTAAGTACTTTACATGACATGAGATGTGTTTAGTTGCATTTTACAGATGGAAAAACTGAAGCACAGGGAGGTCATAGAAATTTCTAAGGCAATAGTGTCTGGGACCAGAATTTGAACCCTGACAATTCTGCTCCAGAGCTGGACTCTTAGCTGCTAAATCATACTTCCTGTCTTGCCCAGAAGTAGCAACTGGCTTATTTCCCATTTCCTGTCAGAGCTTTTCCAGATATGACAGAACAATTATTCATTTTAGCAGAAAGATTCTGGTTATTTAAAATATGTTTATTTATGTTGGCTTTTGGGATACTTAAGTGATTCCATTTAGCTTTGATGAAGACAACACTACTAAATAGCAGTACTGGCCTTGCAGACTATCAGGAAGGCCAGTCTCCTGACTTTTGCTAATCACTGCTTGGCACAGTGTTGTCAGACAAGGAAAGTCATGTGTTTGATGTTGCCAAGAAATGGAAGGTCAAAATGCATTAGTCATTGGGCTTAGGAGAGGATTCATCTACTCCAGTTTGCTGGTTATAACTTACTATAGTTTATTATGTAGAAAGAAAAATTAGCTGTGACACCAAAGTGTTGTTAACCATGGCTGACTTTGGGGAATAAGATTGAGGTAGGAAGAGGTTTCCAATTTCTCAATTACACATTTGCATATATCAATAGCAATTTTTATTATGAGTATGCATTTTTGATGAGACTTTTAAATCTTTTTAACAGTGATCCAACTGACTATTCTGGCTTACGTGAGGGCTAGCCATTTGCAATATTCATTCATTCGATTGAACAAACATTTACCAAATGTCTACAAGATTCGAGGTACTAGATACTAGAGATACATAGGAATTAGTAGTCTAGTGGTTAAACGACATATGGGCAAATAACTATGGAATGAGGTAGGTACTCTGTAGCTGAAGGGATTTGAATTAGAACAAAGAATACTGCCTCAACACTGCTTTTAGCCATGGTAACTATGGCTATAACTGGAGCAAGAAGAGAAGGAAGCATTTCTGAATGCCCTAAGGTTCTACAGTCCTCTTATTCTATGAAGATTATTAGAAGCATGCCCAGTAATGGAAGGTGTAGGCTGATTCTGCCTGTTAACATGGCTTGACAGACATCAGGTTTTTCCCAATCCTGGTTTCTCATGATAACATGGTGGGTTATCAGTTGACAGAGGACTAAACTTCAAGGTTGCCTTTTAAATGCTTTTCTTTGTTCCATGACTATAGGCTGTATCCCTAACATCAGTTATTTATTTCCATTTTGCAAAAGGCATAATAGTTGAGAGGGGCTGGCTTGGCACAATCATAGTTTACTTTCTAGAGTTTCTTGAAATGAAAATGTCAAGTAGCCCGCTGATGACTAGGGTTGCAAGTACTCAGCATCCAGTGGTCAGTTGTACTGTTTTTGTAATACAGAGGAAAACAGAATTATCATAAGCTTGTGCTGTCTTTAAATTCAGAAAAAGAATGGGTAAGTGTATCCTTTCCTTCCTGCTTGAGCTTAAAAAAAGACTTTTTAGTTCAGTTATAGGTTGTAAAAGGCAGCTTTTCTCAGGAGCATATGGTTCATTAGCTCCATATGGTGTACCTGTACCAGACATTTCTTCCTTAGTCCTGTATCCTGCCTGTTTAAAATGTGAATGACCATCCCCCTTTTCCCTACTCTAGGACATCCAGGGAAGTTTAATCCTTTCTGACCCACTGTGTCCTTCAATACCTCCATTATAAGCATGCCTGATTTTGGAATTATTCTGTAATTGGAAGTCAGCCTCACTGGGCAAGTGCACAAGTCTTAAGCTCTTCAATAGTGACCTACCAGCATAATTACATGACAGAAATATAAAAGCAATTAGTTGGAGGTATTTGCAAAATGAACTCATGTTAGCAATCTGTGTAACTACAGAGACCTCACTCAGATCAAATGGTTTGGATGTACTGATTTTACCAATGGAAAAAAAAAATCAAAGAAAATTCTCCATATCCCATGACTCTAATCTACTCTTGGCTGAGGCCTTAAGTCCCCTGCAGGGCCAGAGGATTTATTTATAATGATAGTTTCTGGATTGGGGAGAGGAATGCCATTCCTGCCCCCTCCCTTTTGTAATCCAGTGGAAAATAACAAGGAGAATAAGAAGCAATAAAGCAAACGTCCATCTTCATTGAAATTAGGAAACATTCATATCTGAACCCATGATACTGTGTTTGGAAAAGGGCTTTCATATTAGTGAAAAGTTTATCAGTGTGAAGATAGACCCAAAGAGAATGTTGGGTGCTTCACATGTCATGGGCAGACTAGACAGAGGGCAGAATTCTTCAAAATAGATGCCATAGCTTTGACGTAGAGCAAAGTCAAGTAACCTGTCAGTACTGAGTGACCTCAGACAACAACTGAGCAAACACATAGGACCTACAGACATTCTATGTTTGCAATCTTAGAAGACAATGGGGAATAAACAGCCCTCCAACTTCTATGTCTTCTAAAGAAGAGCAAATACACCATGATGGACCAAAACTCCATTAAGTGGTTTCACTGGGAGGAGGGTAACTTTCAGCCAGCCCAGAGACACTCAACATTCGTAGGGGATTGATAAGGTTTCTGTAGGCAGCAAGCTCAAAGTGCTCACTAGCTCATTTGCCTGGTCCTTATCCTTAGTATTCTTTCTCATGTGATTCAGGAATAATACTCCGTTCGCAGTTCAAGGATGGACAGTATTGAAAAATCAATCACCATGATAGTAATGTGAGCATGTTGCATTTAAAAAGAAATATCACACAGACACATAAAGGTAGATGAGTAAAACAATCAGAAAGATTATAGCATAAAGCAGGTAAAAATTAAGATAACATATTTCTACAAGAAGCCATCTGGCAACATATATTAATACCAAATATATATGCATACTTCAATTCACCTAGGAAATCATTCTATAGAATTGCACTAATATGGTAACCACTAATACTTGAAATATGAAACTATTTTATATGTAAAACTGAGGAACTAAAATTTTGATTTAAAATGATACTGATTTCAGTTATTGGAAAACTTTAAAGCATGTTTGAAACAAACTGGGTATGTGAATTTGCTTTCAACCATGAATTTTATGAACTCGAAACACAGATCAAGTACTGCCAATGAAAATTTAGTGTCTCAATCAAGATATGCTCTAAATATAAAATACACACTAGATTTTAGTAAGACTTTATTCAGTAAAAAGAATGCGAAATATCTTGAAATGATATCTTAGATATATTGGGTTAAATACATTATTAAAAATTTTCCAGTTTTTTTTTTTACCTTTTTAAAGTGGCTACTAGAAAATTTTAAATAACTTGCAACTTGATAGTGTTTCTATCAGATAGCACTGCCATAGGTATGTAAATAGGTGAGATGTCAAGTCAATGGGCAGGTACTGTAAAAACAAAACAAAACTGGAAAAGGAATGCAGGTTCATAGAGGAATGGTTAGTACATACATGTAACATGTCATGAGCTATTATGAAGCCTTTGAAAAGAATAAAGTTTTGTCAGTGTACCTGAATAAGCACAAAGTATTGTTGTACAAGAAAAGTAAACTGCATAGAAATGTTGGCAATACCAGTATTGTAAAGCTACCAATCCCAGTCATCAATAGATGGATATGTTTGTAAGATGGGACTTGAACATGGAAAGAAGTACAAAAAGCTATACATGAAGCCCTTTAACCTGGGTCACCTGTATGTGGCGGGCCAGGGGCAGAGACGAGGAGGGAAGCAAGTAGAAAGAAAATAAAATGTTTAACTCCCTCCCTCTTCCAGCATGTGTATTATCTCTTTAAGCTGTTACACACACAAACACACATGCTTGCCAGAAGGGAAGGTTAGAGCTAGAGCTATATATAATGACTTGTAGGAGTGTCCAAGGGCAAAGAAGTTGAAGGTGATATGTAAATGGACTCACCCTATTTGTGTAAGAACCATAAATCTCTCCCTGTCCCCATTCTTATATATGTTTAGAGAAAGGTGTGTGTGTTAGTTAATTGACAATAATAATCTCAAGGGTGTGGTACTGGAAAGTGAGTTGGGGTAAACAGAGTGGAGAGAAAGCGGGTGGTGTGTATTTGTCACTTTTTATTACAAATGGATATTACTTTTTGTATTTTGAAGAAGAAGAAAACTTAAAAAACAGGGCAGAATTATTAAGTTTCTTGAAATAAAAGAGCTCGTAGAAGAGTTATATTTCCAAGGAATAGTAATGGCAACAGACAGAATTTAAAAATCAGTTGGCCAGACAGGGACACTAGAGCAGCAAAGAGATTCTCAGGTATAAAACAACAGAAAAATGTGAAGATTTAAAAGGAGGAAACAGAGAGAGAAAAATAATAGCCATAGCAAACATAGGAGAATCAACATAGGAATAATTGACACACCTGATGTATGTAGGCTTTTATGAAGGTTGACCCAAGAACATAGACAACAGAGGGAAAAGACATGTGAATATATTTTTCTAAAATAAAATCTAAATGAAAGGGCATACTGAGTTCCAAGAAAAACTTGATACAAATGATCAATAATTAGAAATAGCCTAGTGTATTGTACTTCAGAGATAAGAATTCTTTGGGCATTTAGCTCCCACCTTCACCACCATTATCATCACACAGACACAAAAATCAGCTATTTACATGTGGATTAAAAAAAATACTCTTTTGCATGAACAAAAAAGGAAAACATAAATAAAATAAATTACTTAAGGTATTCCAAAATCTTTTCACATTTTTTCTTTCTTGTGAGTCACCTTTTGATTCAGTCATTGGTGTTTGTGTTTTTCTTACACAATGTGGTCTCTATACTATTAAGAACATTGGTGATGAGCATTTCATTGAAGAGCAACCCAATACAGTTCTTGTTTGTTCTCAGAACCCATTGAAGTTCTTGTTTGATACCCATTAAGCAAGTTTGTTGATGCTTTCCTCATCAATGGAAGGGCTTCAGATCTCATCCAGGATCTATTTTTGTTGCTCAAATGATCCTTACATAGCTTTTTGACAAGAGTGGTGCCATTTTCCAGTGTAGTCACCAGGAACATGAACAAATTTGCACGTGAATAGTTTTACAGTTATGCCCTATGATACACTGACTCCTTGAAGAGAGACTTGGATATCATGCACCGATATGGTATATTATTTCTTCAAAATACTCACTATCCCTTCCTACAACAGGATAATTTTTCCATAGCCATTGACAATATGCTTATCACTGACCGGCTTTGGATAATGGGATGCAGTGCAAGTGCAGGGTCTCGCTTCCTAGCAGAAGTTCCAAGAGCCACATGTGGTCCCCAGCTTTCTTTTCCCTCTGCCATAAAAATAACGTGCCCCACACAGTGGCTGCTCCTTTAGCCTGGGTCCTGGAAATGAACACAGCATGGCATGTAGCCAAAACTGACCCCCAATAAGCATACAATAAGAGTGAAAAATAGACTTGTAAGCCATCCATCCCCATGAAGGTTTTTGGCTTACTTGTTACTGCAGCATAGTTTAGTTTAAAGTGACTGGTATAAATCTTAGCATGTAGGATTTTGAACCTTGTTTTGGAATGGTCTAAAGCTCTTCCAAAGGGCTCCTAATTTCTACAGGACTTCCTCAGGGTAGGTCATGAATGGATGATTGATGACTGGTCGTTTCCAGAAGAGATTCAAATTTAAGCTATTTCAGGTCAGCCAGGGTGAATACAGAGTGACCTTAGCTGAGATGTTTTTTAAAGGAGTCATTCTGAGTTTTAGAGACTCACACTAACTGGATGTGGCTGAATCACAGCCCAGTTGTTGCGAATCATCACTTATACCTGTATTCTGGTAAAATGTCCTGAAATTCTGAAGTTAGAAAACTCTTTGGGGACTGGAGACAATACCTCATTTTGAGACAACCTACTAGTTCTTAGTAGGAAAAGGGTTGGAAAGGAGAGGACAGGGAGGAGGAAGATGCTGTAGATAATGAATTTTTCTTCTTTCCAATTAAAGCTGATTCCATGATCGAAGTATCAATTTGTGGAGAATAGTTTCTTTTTTTTCTCCCCAAAGCAGAAAATTAGCACCTGCATTTAGAGTTCTGTTGGAGAAGTAGCTGAACTCAAAAAGCATTAGAGATCCAACTGCAGTTCACTGTCGATGGGTTCAACAATTTGCAGCATCCCTTCAAAGAATACAGGCTGTGGTTTCCTCCTGGGATGACCTCACTGGGATCTGTGGTGACAGTGCTGAGGGCAAGTGGGATGAAACAAGTTAGCTGAGACTTAGAAAAGAAAATGGAAACAGTACATGAGCAGAACATGGGACATTCAAAATAACATGGGGCAGGAAGTGGATTTCCTCACTCACATTCTGGTTCATGTCAGTTAAGGACAGAGGCACCAGAGGATTAGTTTTGACTCTGAAATCCTGTTTGGCTTCTGCATTTGTTTGGCTTCTATCCCTTAATAAACATAGGAATAAACAAAGAAATGATAGAATTACCTTCTTTAAGACACTCGTACTTAAAGAAGGTTAAATGAGAGTAGGGATATTGATTTTGCAAATAGAAACTGTACAGGATGAGTGGCCAGCACTGGCCACTGGTGGCCTCTCATCCACCATCATCATCACCATCACCAGCACCATGTTTCAGGACAGCCTGTACTGCTTGATCCCCCAAAAGGGAGGCAATACCTAGCAACTAGTAGTAGGGTGCTAGTAAGGGCATGAGCTCTGTGGGCAGAAGGCCTGAATTTTACATCTTGATTGTGTTTGCCCTCATTTTGTTTGGGTAAGTGATATAGCCTTCCAAGCCCTGATTTTATCAAATGTTCAAAAGAAAAAAAGCTATAGTGCCTAACTTATATAGTGGTTGCAGGTTTAAGTAAGCTCATTCATCCACAGTGCCTGCCATAGTGGGGGGCAGGTGAAATGCTTGAGCAGCACCGGCTTCTTCTTGTGGTTCAGTCTTAGCTGAGAAAAGTCCAAATGAAAAGTGCTTAGAATTGTCATACAAGTTCTTATTTTTAAATAAAGAGTTACAATGTTAGAAAAATAAGTGGATGGGGTCTTCAGGTCTAGTTTGTTTATTAATAATGGACAGGAAGAAGTTATAATCAAGAGTACAATACCTGTTCAATAGGCTTTGGCAACAAGATACCACATTAGTCATGTTTCTAGGTAAACTGGAGTTGAGGGCATTCTCTAAAACGTGATGGCAATCAATGTCTACAGGATTGTGGGAGAGTATGCCTAGGAGTGGAACAGAGTGCCATTTATTAGTAATTAACAAAGTCCCTGAACTCTCCTTCTGTTATTCGCTTCACCACCATGTGCCACACATTTCTTTTTACAATATGCTCAACAGCAGCTCTGCTTCTCAGCTTACTGAGCAGCATATGCTGCAATATTCAGGATGGAAGCACTGTCCCCTGAAAGTGGCCATCCTGTATGCATGGGGAGACAGCACACAAAGGGCAGCACGCAGTACCTGCGATGCAAGCTGTCATGAAGCAGGCGATGGTCCCTGCAATCAGAGCTCTCAATGACCCGGAGGCAATGTCCCTCTTTCTGGAGGGAGCCATGGATGCTGGGAAACATGGAAGCAAGTAGGAGAGATTAATGTTGAGGCTATTGATTAGAATTCCAAATCCCAGCTTCTGAGAATTGTCCTATGGCTGGGGTCTCAGGTCATCTGATCTTTAAAAATAATGTTATCTGGCAAAAATAAATGAAACGTGTCATCCCTGGGTAGAGGAGCACCTATATTTGAGCAAATTCTTCCTGAGGTTACCTTGGGTCTATATAGGAAAACTATACTGAAAAATAGAGCTAGAAATAGATCCTAAAGGATTTGCTACTGTTACAGAGCCTTTTTCTCCTGACATGAATAACATTATAGAGCAAGATGGAGATCCAAAGTATATTTATGTCACATCTGTTAGGGAAGGATATTATTTTCACTTACAGAGTCCACCGATCACTATTCCTAGGGAGCCAAAATTGGCAAAGCCACAGAGAGCGTAAGTGGCAATTGTCTCGGAACGAATCTGTAAAGAAGCATAAACACACAGATGTATACATAGTGTGACCCAGCTGGGAAATCTGACATCCTAACAAGCTTCCTATTTTGACAATGGGATACATATGGACAAGTAAATGTACAGTGGCATCAAACACCCACTGCTTCCTGGATGTTTTTTTTCCATCTCCCCTTAAAATATCAAGGGAGGGAAAGAGGCTGTGTGTGAATTCAGAGACTTTCTGCAAAGGATTTAGAATTGGTAGTGTTGGCCTCTACAAATGCTACTTTCTGCTCAGTGTTAACTTCTAATATTCATTGTAACCTGGCCAACTGCTGTAATGTGCCATGTACAATGCTAGCTGCTGAAGATACAAAATTGGTCTCTGAAAATACTCACATTACATTTATTTGACAAAGGACTTACTCAGAATGTATTAAAATTGTTATAACTCAATGATAAGAAGACAAGCAGCCAGTGAAGAATGGATATAGAGATTTCACAAAAGACACACAAATGGCCAGTAAATACATGAGTAGTTGTTTGACATCATTAGTCACCAGGGAAATGCAAATTAAAACAATGAGATACCACCACACATCCACTAAAATGGCTAAAAGAGATGGACAATATCAAGTGCTGGCAAGGATGTGGAGGATTTGGAACTCTCATACATTGTTGGTGGGAATGTAAACAGACACAGCCTATTGTAAAATACATACTTAGTAGTTTCTTACCAAGTTAACATACATGGCCTGTATGACCCAGAAATCCCACTCCTTGGGATTTTCTCAGGATAAATAAAAATGTATGCCCACAAGAAGATTGTACATGAATATTTATAGCAGATTTTTTCATAATAGCGCCAAGCTGGCAACAACTCAAAATGTCCTTCAAGAGGCAAATGGACAAATTGTGGATATCTGTAAAATAGAATACTACTCTGCAGTAAGAAGGAAAATAACTAATGCATGTAATAATGTGAATGCTAAGGGAGTCCATTTGCATGAAATTCTAGAACAAGCAAAATAATCTATGGTGAAAAGTCTTGGCTTCCTAGAAGTGGGTGGGTGGGTGGAACAGGTATTGTTGATTCCTGGCCATAAGGGAGGTTTTCCAGGTGTAATGTAAACATTTTCTATCTTGACTGAGGTTGTGGCTACACAGGTGACACGTCTGTCAAGACTCGTATGTACACCAAAAATGGCCTTTTTTGTATGTACATTATACTTCAGAGAAAAGGAATTACATTAATAAGAAGTCAGTGCACAGACTTTCAGTCTGGCCGTGGTGTGGGTTGTCTGTCTTTGTTCTTCAGCTCTGACCATCCTGTAGGAAAATCAGGTGCCCGTCTGTAAGCAGGAATGAATAGTCCTTCCACAGGGGGCAGTGGGAAGATATAAGGTGGATTCATGCAAGTGCGAGCATGGTGTTCCGGCTCCAGCCTGACAGTCAAGACGGACTGACTACAGGGGGCTCAGAGGATCCAGTGGACTTTGTTGTTCACCAGAGGCACACCTAAGCTAGCAAATGCACCCACACAACTGAGGCAATTATTTTCTTTTCCCCAATCCCCCCAAAATCTATGATTTAGTTCAAAGAAAAAACCAGGCCAATGCTGCTTTCAAAAGTAATGGTGCCTTTTCAGTCCAACCAAATGGATTTTTGAAAAGCTCCCACTTAAGACTCAAGTGGTCCTGGTAAGTTTTTTGCTGATTATAAAGCCCCTTCTTCTCTTTTATCTCTTCTGAGACCACCTTGTTGATATTTTCAATCAGCATACAGGAAAAAATAATTGCAAGTATTTGAGCAGTCCGCTGTTTCTGGAAAAGCTCATCCTCATTTCCTGTGCTCTCTAGTGCTTTTCATTTTGTTCAGTTGGCTTCAAAACCAGGCAGCCTTATTAAGAGAGCATGGGAAGGGATATGGCATAAAGTGCTTAAGATTGGTCTTTCCTTTTTCTGGGGATCTGTGGGAAAGGGGTACACAGATGTGGCCATGTAGGCTTTGTAATAAGATGAAAAGGAGGCTGGGATGGTTCCACTTTGCCTTTGCCCATAAATGTGCAGAATGATGTGATGGAAAGAGCTTCCTTGCACTAGGAAATTAATAATACCTCTTGCAGCTCTCCTGGCACACAGCAAGGACGCTGTCTATACAAGGCCAGTCAGTGTAACACTGAAAGTCTTGGCTTCCTAGAAGTGGGTGGGTGGGTGGAACAGGTATTGTTGATTCCTGGCCATAAGGGAGGTTTTCCAGGTGTAATGTAAACATTTTCTATCTTGACTGAGGTTGTGGCTACACAGGTGACACGTCTGTCAAGACTCGTATGTACACCAAAAATGGCCTTTTTTGTATGTACATTATACTTCAGAGAAAAGGAATTACATTAATAAGAAGTCAGTGCACAGACTTTCAGTCTGGCCGTGGTGTGGGTTGTCTGTCTTTGTTATTCAGCTCTGACCATCCTGTAGGAAAATCAGGTGCCCGTCTGTAAGCAGGAATGAATAGTCCTTCCACAGGGGGCAGTGGGAAGATATAAGGTGGATTCATGCAAGTGCGAGCATGGTGTTCCGGCTCCAGCCTGACAGTCAAGACGGACTGACTACAGGGGGCTCAGAGGATCCAGTGGACTTTGTTGTTCACCAGAGGCACACCTAAGCTAGCAAATGCACCCACACAACTGAGGCAATTATTTTCTTTTCCCCAATCCCCCCAAAATCTATGATTTAGTTCAAAGAAAAAACCAGGCCAATGCTGCTTTCAAAAGTAATGGTGCCTTTTCAGTCCAACCAAATGGATTTTTGAAAAGCTCCCACTTAAGACTCAAGTGGTCCTGGTAAGTTTTTTGCTGATTATAAAGCCCCTTCTTCTCTTTTATCTCTTCTGAGACCACCTTGTTGATATTTTCAATCAGCATACAGGAAAAAATAATTGCAAGTATTTGAGCAGTCCGCTGTTTCTGGAAAAGCTCATCCTCATTTCCTGTGCTCTCTAGTGCTTTTCATTTTGTTCAGTTGGCTTCAAAACCAGGCAGCCTTATTAAGAGAGCATGGGAAGGGATATGGCATAAAGTGCTTAAGATTGGTCTTTCCTTTTTCTGGGGATCTGTGGGAAAGGGGTACACAGATGTGGCCATGTAGGCTTTGTAATAAGATGAAAAGGAGGCTGGGATGGTTCCACTTTGCCTTTGCCCATAAATGTGCAGAATGATGTGATGGAAAGAGCTTCCTTGCACTAGGAAATTAATAATACCTCTTGCAGCTCTCCTGGCACACAGCAAGGACGCTGTCTATACAAGGCCAGTCAGTGTAACACTGCTTCCAAAAGCAAAAATTAGTAGCAGTGTTCATTAACAAAGGACTGGTTAAAATAAATAACGGTGTGCAAATAAACAAATTACATAAACAATATCACAGATACTGATATAGAATGGCATCCAAGGTATGTTATTAAGTGCAAAGAGCAAGGTTAGTAACCGTGAGCATGTTAGACCCTGAGGGGAGAAATAGCGAGGATGAGTTTCTCTCTATCCCTTGTACCTTTTGGAATCTGTACCATGCTATGTGCTATGTGAAAACAAATAAGCATGCAAAGTGTTATCTCTATTCTATGAAAGAGAAGATGATGGAGTAAAAAAGCTCGTTCTGGGGATGACATGCTGTATACACATTCTAATATCTTATCTTAGATGGGGGTTGGCAGTGGGCCTAATTCAATGCATAACACTGTATTTTTGCCTCATGGATCCAAGTCTCATGCGTCAGTCACCTAGTGCCTTTTCCAGGAGACGATGGGACATGCCCCCCACTAGTTGGTTGATGGACACTGAAATTGCAGGGGCTCCTCCCCATTTTATTGATTGGAAATAGGAAATTGGGGAAAAACAAAATGCTTTTCCCATCATGACTCAACAATAGCAGAAGCCATTGAGCTCGTATCTCCATTTATCCTCTACAGGTCTGTCCCTGGCTGGACTCACCCCCAACCCAAATCAGCAGTGCTCTTTTGTCTCTGTTCTCTTAGTCACCTGATGCACAAACCCACTTAGCAGGGCCAGAACTGCGAGCTTGTTTTGCTCACTAACAAAACCACTTTCTCCAGGCAATTGGCAGTTGGGAATGGAAAACATGTTGCTTCATCTAGCCCATTGTTTGCTTTTGGCAGAGAAGCAAGCTGGTTTGTGGTGGCATCCAAACAATGAGTACATTCGGCTGTGCTCCACTGTGTGGCCAGCTGCAGAATGAACATTTGAGAAACAGCAGACCTGCAGGGCCAGTTCTCCTATCAGATGTGTGGGTCAAAATGCCCCTGACTGTAAGATACAAATCAGCACCTTCCTGGAGTGTGCTGTTATATTTGTGCAACATGTAGGAGTAAGTTTGCGTGTTTGGTCTTCGGGACGCTGGGAGAGGCGGTGGTGGTGTTCAGAGGTGGGCAGTCTCAGTGAGAACACTGGGCAGCATGCTTTTCCTCCCCTTTGTTTTTAAAGCCAAATACATGCCTACAAAATTAATTCCAAATGAATTGTTTCAGTTAATAATGGTGGTGGTCAGAAATGTTCACCATTTCCCTAAGGGTTACCACATGTGACAATTCTGTTCTTCAGGCAAATAGGAATTGATGACTCAGATGCAGATGTAGCCCAAGTCATGGCGTCTCCTGAATTCCCTTATCCCATTCAAGGCTGAGCAGATCCGGGCATCTCCTTACAGCCTGCGGACCTGATGTCCTGGCATAGTTAAAGGGCATTTGCCTCCAAGGTTCAGACCACAGATCCAGAGCCTCTTCTCCTCCCTCATCCACTCGGAGAGTAGCGACTGTGTTGCAGTATTTCTTTAGGAAGTGAATTTAGGTAGTGTTTCAGAGTTCATAGACTCTCTCAAGCTGTAAAGAAGAGAGCTTCAAGATCATGAGACTGCCAGCCCACACTGTGACCTCGGCACCTAGAAGGCATTCAATAAACATTTGTTGATTGATTTCAATCCGAGCTCATATAACTCTGGGTTCGAATCCATACCACTCAAAAGTAAATGATCACAGTGGTAAAGATTAGCTGTATGTCTCTCCACACACACATGCACACACACATGCTCACACATACTAATTAAATTAAGGTAACTGAAAATTATGGGATGCTATGTTCACCATGAGCTCAGTTTGTTTTGTTCTCTGATGTATCCCAAGTGCCTGGCGTGATGCACAGAGGCACTGGTAACTATTGGATGAATGCATGTACATGATGAAGAAGTATACTGAAAAACAAAAATATTTACTCACCGACATATATTGCTGCACACCATTCACAAATTTGGGCCCAGCCTCTTTCCTTAGGTTGATTAATTTTGAGAGGTGCTCATAAGCCACAAATTCATTGAAGAATGTCTTATAACCTATGAGTCTGGCAACCATGAAGCTGTCTTCCCAGTCCACCCCCATCATGAAGGAAAAGGGCATGAAGATGTAGGAGCATATTATCTATAAAAACCAAAAACAGATATTTCATGAGAGTAGTGATTTGCTTGCAGGTGATCTGCTTCTACCTCCCCTTTGTGACAAGATTGTCCCCATCCCCTCTGGGTGTCCTCTAGGCATAGGGACTCTTCACATTCCCTCGCCATCTGTATCCATTAGAAATCAAGGTTGAAATTGGGTCATTTGAAGTAACCTGGATTCCTGGGATGGGGTCAGGAAGGAATGACTATGCTGGGGGAAGGAAGGTGACAGAGAAAGAGACAGATGAGTGGGAAGACAATTTGTGCATTGGGAAGAGTGTGTAGAGTGTGCTATAGGCCCAGGGATGGCTATTCATAAACCTATTTTATTTTTAAACAAAGACAGGCAGAAACATGATGGAGGAGAAACAAATGGAAGAAAAACATGGTGGAATTCTACCTCAAAACTCAGTTGTGGGTAGTCAAACATGTTTCCAAACCAAGACAGGGCTGAATTCACAAAAGACAACAGGGCCAGGAAGGCAATCAGATTCACAGCGATGTTTGCCACCAGGGAGATGGATGAGGATGCTCCCTGCGATGCAGCTTCTAGGAGATTCCTCGAATCACTTTAACAAAAAATAGAAATTCCAGAATTACCAAGGAATTGTCAGCAGGGGTACGTCACAGGTGTAGAAATGGTATTAATAGAGCTTATTGGGATGGAGAGACAAACTCTCAGGCCCATGCCTTGGTCAAAATACTCATCTGAAAACCATCAAAATACTCATCAAATTCTATAAAATCATAACAGGACTTATAATTTTTGAGTGTAGTTGATGGGCACATGGGTATCTAAACATTACAATACTCTTTTAACTTGGGAGCATTTATAATTTAAAAATTGAGAAAAGATAAAAATATTGTTAAGTTTTAAACATTATATTAAGAGTAACTACCAGAGAATTTTGTAAAATACTCATGTATAAGAACTAACAATCCAATAAAGGTCTGAATATCTATCACCTTATTCAAGAAATGGAATGCCATTATATTTTGAGTCCCCTTGCCCAGTCTCATTCTCTTGAATCACTTTATCAAAAAATAGCAATTTCAGAATTGCTAATTTCAGAGGTACCTGATTCCCTAGAATTTGCTTATCATTCCTTTTCTTTTCAATTTTCCTCTATGTCCTGTACCCCTAAATAACATGTAGGTTCACAGGTTTTCTCACTTTATTAGTGTGATCACACACATTCCACATATATATGTTCTTTGTCAGCTTGCATTTCACTGATGGTCATGATTCATACAAACAAGAGATGAATCTCAGAAATATGTTGGTTGGTGGATTCTGTTATTTAGTGAGATGCTTCTGAACTTTTGAACATCCTAAATCCCTTAGTCTTTACAACCTTTTTCTCTTTTTCTTTTTTTTTCAAAAGAAAATGAACAGAAAAGGGGACAAAGATACCTGGACCACACCTTCTTTTCCATATTATATAAGAAACTTCCAGAAATGGTCATCCCATGGCTTTCCAATGGTCTTAAACCAAGGCTTGGTGAACACTACACTATATTAAAAATGAAATATCTACACTGAACAGTCAAGGAAAGTTATTGACATTCAGGTACTTAGAAAGGTTTTCAAGTGTTGAAACAAGGTTTTTTGGGTGAGGTCTAATAGTCACTGGGAAATTCATGTTAATACCATAATTCACTGAGCTCCCTGATTATCAACTGTTTGCTGTACTTTGAATTTGGACCTCACTCTCCCCAACCCTGGCTGGCTTGTATATAGTCATTAAGTAGGTGAATGTGTTCCACTTACCCACTTTCCATTTTCATGGCATTCTTGAGGGTTATTTTAGGTGTTTCAGTCTCAGGCCAAAAGAGTTTAGCCACAGCCAGTGATGCGGGGGCTGACATTACAGAGGCAGTTAACAGGTGGGAAGAAGAGACCTGCAATTTCGGTAGAAAGAGGCCAACTTAGGGCTGGCTTTACTGTGGTGTTCAGGATAAACGGTCCAAAAGCCTTACAAGAGATGGGGGGTGGGGGTGGGGCAGGAATTGAGTGTAAGCCAAAAAACAATGTTTCTTTGGAGGTCTGGAAGCCTGATGAGCCAAGTCAGCATTGCCTTGAGAGCCAGAGGGAGACAGGAGGAATCCATGTCAGTGGGCCACATCCTCAGGGGAAGCCCAAAGCCGGAATCTGATCATTTCAGAAAATAATTAATCCTGTGTTGTAGGAACTTTTAAAGAAGATTTCCTCCACTTCTCTGTTGTTCTTTCGAATGTTCAAATAGTACCTAACCCCCATATTTCATTACATCGTCAATTTAGGTAGGAGATGTCTGGGGTGCAGGAATGCATACACCCCTTGTGGTCTTCCTCTTAATTTCCTGAAGTCCTTTGCACCTTTACATAATGTTATCACCTCAATATGTGAACTATTTCTGTTTTCCTCGCTGCAGGTCCACTTAAACTGTTTCCCCTTTCCTTCCTACACCTTTATTTTGTTTCGGGATTTTCTTCCATATATTGTAAGGATGCTGGAATCCATACCTCCCTGCCCAATCCCTCTGCACCCAGACATTTTTGCAGGCAGCATTCCTGCTGTGGTGGTGGAATGGGTCAACTAGGGAACCAGTCATACTGCTCTTCCTGAGATCTTCCTCACCCTTTCCTTCTCCCTCTTCCTACTGGTTGGCATTCTGAGACACAGAGGCAGTCCTGGAATGAAACTCACCTGTCTTGTAAGAACTGCTAGCTACCTGGGTCACACAGCTGCTGTGTTATTCGATTTTCCCAGTGGGGGATGCATCTACAGTCATACTGCTCTTCCTGAGATCTTCCTCACCCTTTCCTTCTCCCTCTTCCTACTGGTTGGCATTCTGAGACACAGAGGCAGTCCTGGAATGAAACTCACCTGTCTTGTAAGAACTGCTAGCTACCTGGGTCACACAGCTGCTGTGTTATTCGATTTTCCCAGTGGGGGATGCATCTACCTGTGGCTTGTAAGCCCTGTGCTTGAGATGCACATACCATTTACCATAGTGTTTTGCAGCCCTCTACCATAGACCAACAGCTTTCAAACTGGGCTGTGCATTGGAATCTGAGGAGTTTTTAAAGAATATTGATGCCTGGGTCTCATCCCTGGAGATTCTGGTTTAATTACTCTGGGGTGTGGGTTTGGGCATTAGGGTTTTTAAAAGCTCCCAGGTAATTCTCATGTACAGTAAGGCTTGAGAACCACGGCTACAGGTCAGGGGTCAGGAAACTTTTCTGTGAAGGACCAGGAGTAAATAATTTTGGCTTTTTTGGGCCACAACTACTCAACTCTAGCATACAGGCTGCCACAGAGAAATAAAAAGTAATAGTTACTTTCCAATAAAACACAAGTGTGGGGAAAATGGAAGTTCCCATGGCCAGGATCCTCACCTGTTCCTAAACTAGTTGATTATGTAATTGACCTACTGCTAGGTCAATGTTTCCACACCCATAGGCAATATTATTAACTGAGTCACTGTGTAAACCCAGAGGTGGGTTATGGACCTGTAGACTGGTGGATGCAGACATGATTCTAGTGCTTGGCCTTCTGCTGTGAGAATAAAGCCAGGTATAAACCCTTTTACCCCCAAGAATGTTCCATTGTCATTTCTCTCTCTCACTGAATCCATAGTGAACTTGCCCAGAGCTGAAACCCTCAGGCAAGACAACAAGTTACAAGAAAGGGGGGGGCAATCTAGATTTGGTCCATGGGCCATACTTTGCTGACCCCTGGGCTAAATTGCCTTTACTAGGTCAGTAATAGGTTTTTTGTTTTTTTTTTACATATTGAAATGTAATGTAATTTCAGCCAAAATAACCTCATGATACTGTCTTGCCAATGGGTTTCAGCCCCAGGCAAGTTCGCTATGGATTCAATGTGACCAAAGAAATTGACAGCAAAACGTTCTTTGGGGTGAAAGGGTTTATTACTGGGCTTGTTCTCCCAGCGGTAGGTCAAGCACTAGCTTCTCTGCCTCTGCATTGCCACCACTCCAGCCTCTGTTCTGCTCTCTCTCCTGCAGCCTTGCAGCCCTGCAACCGTGTCGTGCAGAGCACTGGGTGCAGCTCCTTATACAGAGTCCACAGCCATGTACTGCCCACAGGTGTGCAGTGAGCTAGTCAACCAGGGTCAGGTGAGAATCCTGGCCATGGGAACTCTCATTTTATCCACCATACAATTTTCTTTTGGTATAGTTGGATATAATTCACAAGTAGGTGGCAGGATATGAAAGTGAACCCCGAAGTTCCTTGGGGCCACCCCATTCAAATGGCGAAGGAACTGTGACCAACTATATAGTAAAAAGGACACTTTTGGCTTCCTTTCCCAGCAGCAATGGTAAAGAAAAAATAGTAAGGAGGTTTACTCTTCCATAAATTAATCTCCAAACATTCTTACCCCAAAAGAAATGTATGCGCCTAAGACACTTCCGGCTATAGTAGCAAACCCAGCGGTCATGACTGCATGGAGCTCAGACTTGGTAATGTGTGGTAAGTATGGCCGGACCAGCAGTGGAGACTCTGTCTGGAAACAAGAGAGTGATGAGATTAAATGTTGCCTTATAAATCTTAAGAGGGAATCCAATCTACTCAGAACTCCTTTCTCCAAAGCAGTTATTTCTAAGTGGAGTACAGACCAGCCCCGTCAGCATCACCTGGGAACTTGTTCAATATGCTCTGACTTACTGAATCAGAAACTCTGGGAGCAGGACCAGTAATCGTGTTTCAGTGACTCCCAGGTGGCTCTGATGCACTCCCATGTTCAAGAGCCCACACCACCGATGTCTGGGTCATTTGAATTCTAGGTGAGTGCGCATATGGAGTCACAGGTAAAATGTGCAGTCTGCAAGGCCAATTCACATAGGCCCTCATCTAGCCTCGGCTTGGAGTCTGATGGCTTGGTACAGTTTTGTAGGGTTGGAACACTATTGGACAAGCAACTCTGCCTTGTGGCCTGACCTTGGGACTGGAGATTCCCAAGCCTCTGTGACTTCCCATCTTCCACCTTCAACTCAACAGACCCTAAACCTCTTTACTGACCACAGGGAAACAGAGGTACAAGTATAAAAAAATCCCGGCAATAACAAGGACAGGTACCCACAGGCCCCTCCTAATTGAGAATCAGAGACCCTTCTCTTCCTCTTGTGGGGAGGAGTTGGAGAGAATGTACTTGTAAAGGCTTGAATCCCATTACAGAGGATGGGCGGCCTGTAGTGCGAGGCTCTCCATAAATAATAGCTGTACTTTTAGCATAGTAAGTATCAAATTGAGCACCACAGAAGCATGTGTACAATTTTATAATTTTCCCCTCATTATTTCTAATTGTTCTATAAGGTTGCATGTGTTGAGCTTCAATTTATGGACTAAATAGAAACTCAGTACATGAGCCCTCTTACCCTGCAGGTAGGAGTAATCAACTCAAGATGGTGCCCTAATTAGTCCTGAGAGATTTTATAACTATAATTATAATAATTTCAACTCCTGGGGAAGGAAGTATGGGCCCCACTCTAAAGACTATGCAGCAGGATAGCAAGTTGGGCTGACCAAGAAGAAAGCTCAGCCTGCCTGGAGCAGTTGTAAGCCCAGGATTTGGGGTCATGTGTTACTCTGAGTGACTTGATTTTTGCTTCAAATCCAACCTCCTTGGGTAGCGGTGCTGACAAAGAGCACACTTGGTTTCCCTGGTGTGTGATTCCATTCTGCCTGAAGCTACATATCCTGAGTGATGAGGGTGATTATTACCATTTCTTATTCACCCAATCCTTAGGAATGCTGCTATTTTGATGACATCCCCTGATAACATGCTTCTTTGCTTAAATAGGATACAGGCAAAAGAGCATTTATCCATGTGATGGGTCAGGGAGGCGAAAATGCTTTTGTTATTCAGCCGTCAGCATTTTCCTTCAGGCTCAGCAACCACAGACTGTTGGCCGGTTCAGACCGGTTGCGAATGAACTCAAGTACGTATACAGCTGCAAGGCTATTGGCATAAAGAGTTCTTGGTAGCTTTCATCACCACAACCAATTATACTGCAGAATGTGAGGCTGTTACATGTTTGCAGCTTGGAGATAAGTGCTGAACTCCATCTGAGAGGATGAGCTGCTAGCCTCTGAAGGGTGGGCCACAGACCTCAACAATTCAATACATTCAGAAAAGATTTGTTGAGAATCTACACATGAGCAGCCCAATGCTTTGATAAAATGATTCAATCTTCTTCCCCTCCATAAACTTTCCAGAACTCAAGTTTGACCCTAGTGCACCAAGACTCTTGGAAGGGGTCTCTCTTGTACACTCTCTGTTTTTCTCTCTGGAATCTGGACATTGTCAACACTGTGGGTTCCTTATTTTGACACCCTTTCCTCTACACTAAAAGAAAGAACAATGTTATATTTTTAAATTCCACTTTCTGGGAAGCCTACCCATTTCAGCAGGTATTTTATTTACTATTTGATATTACAAATTACCATTCCGACGAATATATTGCCAGCAGCAACTACAGATTCAATAGGAGATGATCCCATAGTCACTAGCATCAGCCATCCAACCTAAAAGGGAAAAGAGAGAAAGCCAGCGAAGAGCTGTTTGTTTACAAGGAACTTCAAAGTACGGATAAAAATATTTGGAGGAAAATGTCCAGGCCTTTAAAACTGTTGGCAGGCCAGCAATGGTGCTAAATGTGACTGTACATTATTTAGTCTATAGAGCAGGCCAATCATATCCTCCTATTTGAGTGGTAAGTCAGAGTCATTGTATATGACTTTGAACATTATACAAATGAATTTCTATTGGATCATTGTATAAAAGTAATAAATTATAAAAATTGCTAATAGTCATGACAGGGTTTACTGCATTCCAGGTACCATTTTAACCACTCTGGTAACCCACTTAGTTGTCATAATAACCCTTTGAGGGAGGTCCTATAATTATGAGTATTTAGTAGAAGAAGAATCAGAGGGACAGAACAATTTAGTTGTTTTGTGTAAGCTCACCCAGCTAGTGAGTGGAAGTAAATCCTAAGGTTTCATGAAGCCATCCAGTGGGTTGCCAGTCAGAGCCTTGTTACAAGTCTCTGAGATAAAACTCTCTATATGGACACATGTAGGATTTTTGGGTTTGAATTTAATATCCTGGGCTGGGGCGGGGGTTGGATCTTGGTACAAGTGAAATGTACTTTGGAAAAACTTGGATAAAAGGTATTTAAGATTTTTGTCTCTGAAAGAATCAGCTCTACACCTGTTACCCAGTCCCCTCTGGCCCTGGTACCTTTCTAATGATCCACTGCATCAGCCCAAGGTAGTAGAGCATGGACATTACAGTGCTGAAGAAAATCACCATCGGCAGGACCTGGGTGTGGGGGAGGAAAGCAATCATGGGTAATGGTGGCCTCAGAATTAGTAGTAGGTTTAGATCAGATTAGCAGGTTACAGATCCTTTCTGTCTCTTCTCCTCCAACACATCATAAAAATACTGAAAATGTCTTGTGAACTAAAGAACACTTTTATCAGGCAGCTTCATCATTTATAGTCTTCTAATTTGCTCTGGAAAAGCTTGAATATATTTCATAGGAAATGTGACATTTCTTTTTTTCTTTGCTATGATGAGCTTTGCTTAGTTTTTGAGAGAAAGAATGAAGTTTTGGGGGAATGTGTAGCACCTTCTCCCATATATATAAGGCTGCCAGCAGTCTGTTTATTCTGATAGGCATCGCGGCTCATTAGCAGAGCAACCTGACTTCCTTATTCATACCGGTGGGGCAGATCAGGTAGAGCACGGCAAGTGCTCACGCACAGCGCCTCCTGTGAGTGAGCACCCTCCGCCTTGCCACAGGGGTGGACCCGCGTGAGGTAAGTCCCTAAAAAATGAATACTGTATGATTTCACTTATACGTGGAACCTAAAGGACAAAATGAACCAACGGTCAGACAAAACAAAATTACAAAATAGACTCATCAACAGAGAGAACAGACTAGTGGTTGCCATAGGGAAGGGGGAAGAGAGGATGGGTGAAGTAGGTGAAGGGGAAAAATAAGATTAGTGAGAATGTTTGGTATCTTTGACCAAGGTGATGGTTACATGAGTGTACACACATGTCAAGATTTGTCAAGATGCACACTAAGATTTGTGAGTTTTATTGTACGTACCTCAATAAAATGAAATTGCAAACTAAAATAATAATTATTTTAGCTAAGGAGTTTTGAATTACTAAAACATGGTTAAACTTTGGAAACTTGTTTACTTCTATGTCAACAAATTTATCTTTTTCTAGATGCTATTTTCCTGATGCTTGTTGGGGGCCTTCCTTGTGACCTGTGTTTCTACAGGGAGCAGCTTCTGCCCTGCCAAGAACACACAGAGCTGTAGTCTGGGTCCTTCCCCGCCCCCACCCCTCTGCACACCTTGTGCTCTGTTCCCCAGCTAAATGGCCAGGGGCAAGCTGCCACCAGAGGCACAGAAGGACTGGGGACCATTTGTATAGGATCTTATTTAGAAAAATCTATTAATGACATACATTAAAAGACACTTTGTGCCATTATTCAGAGCTCACTCATTTATGTGCTTTTATTGGTTTTAATGGGAAGCCAGAACTTTCCTGAAAGCTGCAGAGTCATCTCTTGACTGTTCCCATCGGGATTCTGCTTTGGTGGACAGAGTGGGGGCCACTGCCCCGGGGGGAGGTCTGAAGACACTGGGGTCACCCAGACAGCAAGTTATGCCTCCTTGTCACTTAGTTATTTATTTTTCCAACTCTGGATTCAGTTCACTATATAGGTATATTTCGATCTCAATGTGTAAACACTTGACCTTTCAGAGACACCTTAGTTGTCTCAGCACCAAAGTATCAAATCAGTAGTTTCAAAAAAAAATGAGCAGTTAAAAAAAAAGATTCACATGAAAGTTGGCCTAACTGAAGCCAGGGCAGTCTGGAGGTGAATTTGGTGTCCCTAATCTAGAAAAGAATTGAGAAGTTTGGGAACAATAACACGCCACAAAAGATAACAATGAAGAAAAAGCCCACTTCATCTTTCTGACTTGTGGGCAAGGGGCTTTCTAGAGGCAGTCAGCTTCCAGGGGCTTGTGGGAGCCCCAGGAGGGAATGGATTAGGCCTGGGCATGGGGCTGGGGTACCTTTCCTCTGGGGAATACTGGGGGAAGGCCCAACCTCTCAGGTCAGGGCTGAGCTGCAGGAAAGAAGGGAAAGTTTTAGCACAGGAATGGCTCTGGAAGAACAGAGGTTGATGTGGGTGACCAGCTTTCCTGGTCTGGGGGACTGAGGGGTTCCTGAGTGCAGAGAGTTGATCCTGGACCTGGAAACCTTTGGTGGCCATATGCCTATTCATTGCCAGGTAACATGTCTCTTTCCCTGGAATCTCAGATACTATTATCCTATACGATTTTTCCTAAATATCTCAGGCAATGCTACCAGCACCCCCACCCCCAAAGCATTTGAATATTTCTGACTTCTTCTAGATGTTTCCCTTAATACTAGAGTAACAAAGAAAAATGTTTATAATCCACTGACCAGATAAAATTGTAAACGAAAGGTGGGAATGTGCTATGCATCTACAACATGCTCAGCTGTGTCTAGTTTCTGGTCAGTTAGGTTCTATCTGAACATCAACAAAGACTGAGAAATTACTGTAATGGAAGTAACTGCATAGAAAAGGGGTGTGGCCTTACCTTAAATGCAAAGAAGTGGTCTGTGTATTTCTCACCGAAAACAAATGAAGCGCCAGCATCAGTGTACCCCAAGAAAGTCTCGGTTAAAGAAAGAAAAGGAGAAGATATTACAACCACTGCAGCAGTGATTACAGTCCACATGGCTTCCCAGGCTCTGCAGAGGGTGAGGACCCAGCCAACATACTGGATAGATATTTGGAAAGTTAATCTTCTCAGCTTCTCTGCCTCCAGTGGATGGCACAGAAGGGTATTTTGAACTATACCTGCATACATACAGATTCCCTGTCATTTCGGACATTCAATATGACTCCAGGATTGGCAGTCAAGAATTAGCCAGGTATGGCAGTCCCAGCGGGCCATCGATGGCACATAGGTGACACTAGTTACCTCTGGATGCAAAGAAAGCCTGTTTCTCTGTGGAACCATCTTAGAAGTGTGACAGCCCTCGGGCAGGATGAAGGGGGCACTCAGGATAGGGGAGTAATATGCTAGGTGACATGGGTAAAGGGACCACTGCAATATTAATAAACTAGATGGATTAACATATTCTACATGAAAAAAATGATTTGTCTAACACATGCTACAGAATTAAAATGTGGGTCAACTAGTGCAGGCAAATAAACCTATTTCTGACAGACATGCCTTGAGGATTATATCCAAATGTGAAAAACACTATAAAAACAAGGTGTTCATTTGAACCCAACTTACCTGAACTTGGTTGCCCAACCAGTCAAAAGTCATAAATCCAGGGTCAGTCCTGAGTATTAAAAGCCCAAGAAAAAACTGCAACCCGATTCCCCAAAAGACAGGTCTCCAGTAAACCTAAGCAGAAAGATTGAGAGATACAGCCTATTAGACAAGGAATACTGGACTCAGCATAAATGTCCAGAGATAGCTACTTCCCTGGAAGCTTCTCATGTGTGGCCTGTGACCCACCTTCTTTGGGAGGACACAGCAGTTGTGAGTAGAGGAGAGAATCAGTGGATAGATAGAAAGTAGATAGAATCCCTTGATAGAATCATACTCAGACATGTCAGGGTTGCATTCCCTCTTCCTAATACTGAATTTGAAGCCTTGAGTCCCAGGAGAGTATGTAACCATTACCTCACAATAAAATAACTTAGACACAAAGAGTACTCTTAGAAGGACTAAGGATATGGCCTTCCTAGTTGAGCTGTAAATATAAGGTACATAAAATTATTTCCCTTGTCTGGAAAATGGAAAGGCAGAATGTGATTTCTCTGTGTGCCCAAGGTTTGTTGATCTAACAATTTGTAAGTGAATTAAATGAAATTCCACTCTGTTGAGGGCCTCTCATTTCACTGTAAAAGGAAGCAATTAACTCTAATGCAGACCCAGGGAGCCCAGTAGTAAAGGGCAATCACCTGCTTTCATTTTTGGTGCTGAGATGAGTGGCCTGCAAAGAACTATGGGATTGGAGGCATAGAAAACTCTGGAGATGTTTATCTGAGAAAAGAAAGAATTTGGATCCTTTTAGGTGACTTTTTTTTCTAGGGTCACCCTTTCAGCCAGTAAAGTCTTCCAGAGTTTGCCATTATGAGTCATATGTGAAAGCCTCCATGTCTCCGAATTCCTGCCCACTTAATGGATTACAGGCTTACAGAATAAGGATGGGAATTGAAGCCAGTGTGAACAAGACTGCTTAAAGACAAAATTTTGGAGTAAAATATCCTAAATTGCAAATGGAAATTTGATAAACTACAGAATCCAAGGGTAGAAGATTAGATTGCTTACTGGTCTGGGGAAATCTGTATCAAAATGGATGTATTCTCTTTGTATGTGTGTTTGATGGGGGGAGGTGGGGTCTACAAGGACGAATTGGACTTGACAGGAGAGAACATTTCACTGGTTGTCTAACTGGGAAATTATTGACAGTGAAAAGGGAGAGACCAACATTAGTATGGAGCTTAGAAGTAAAGGTGCCCTGGCTGCTTAAACTGCCCTTGAAGTTCAGACAAACACTGAATAACAGTTATATTCTCTCACACTCATTATTTTGAATATTTACACATGATTAAAGAAAAGGGGGGGAAAGCTAAAAAAGATTAATTTCGTACTTACTTTAGTTGGGTGCTTAGAAAATAGAAATATCAGGAAAATGTACATTATGAGCCCACCAAAGGACACCAGATGCTGTCGGCCCAATTTGGCCGTGTCGAAGATCAGCCAGAAAAAAACTCCCAGGATGAGCAAGCTCCAGATCACCCTATGAGAACCGGAAAGGAGGCACAGATATTATCTGTGGGGGTATCTTGAACAATTTTAATCAGGCTAAAAAACACAAAATATCAAGAGTAGACATCCTGGCAGCAGGAAGTTGTGCCTCTAGAAATTGCAACAGACCCTCTTTGGTTGAGGCTAAATGGCAAATCTCCAAAAAATTAAGTAATGTGTCCCCCTCATTCCACAACTCTTGGGCTCTTTGCTGGTTCAAGGATAGATACAAAGAGTCAGGGAGAAGCAAGGAAGTCTGGAGAGGGAAGTCTGGTGATTTCTTTGAGAGATCTACGGGGAGTCCTCACTTCTGTTTTGGGAGATGGGTGAGGTATCACCTCTTCCTTTTCAGGGAGAACTTGAAATGTGTTCCCTGCAGTTGGGGGACTTCACTTGAGCCTCAGAGAGCTAAGTCAGACTTTAGACTGGGTTCTGACTCCCTGGGGAATGTCATAAGCACGACAAGTCCGGCTCATGGCTTGGATAGCAAAGCCAGAAAGGGTGCTGTACTGGGAATTGCACAATCCTGGTTTATTAGGCCAAGGATAAGTGACGTTTCTTCGCAGATCCCATCGCCATGCTGGGGAGGGCTGGTCCTGGGTCCTACCTAGTAGGGCCACCTGGAGGGAGAGGAGGTTCCACAGGGAGAGGCTGAGGGAAAAAGCCCTGAGTGGTCACTGGCAGGGCATGGGTCCCCTAAGGAAGAGTCAGCTTTAATAATTCATAGGTGCTTCCTTCCAGAGGCCAGTTTTGTGCCCAGATCAGAAAGCCATCTTCCCAAGTCAGAATCAGCCCATCTTTTGGACAACACTTTATCCTTTAGTGGCACTTGAAATTACGGCAGCTGTGGGGACATTTGGACACATCTTGAATGAGTCATTGCCTGCCTATCAAGGCCTTGATTTCCTGTTGGCAAAGTGAAGGCATTATAACAGATTATTCTCTAGGCTGTTTCTAGCTTCAGGATCCCATGGCATGAGGAAGCAATTTGAGAACAAATTTTTGGAACAGTGCTGGACAAGACTAACAACCCTCTCAATTGCAATAAGAGAAACAAATGCATTTACCACTTTAGCCAGAACCAATGGCTGTTCAGAAGCCTTCTGCCAGGAGCCAGGCACTCATCCACTCGCTGCTCATATTTGGCCATAAAGTGATCCCAGACCACAAAGAAGGTGACAGCCACGGTGATCAGGAGAAGGGGAAGCGCCCTTCGAAAGTTGAGCACACAAGCTGCCATCACCATAACCAGGTAACCTGTCCCGGAAGCCAGAGCAGACAGTGAACATCACTAACGCCACCTGGAGACAGCCCCGGGGCTCCCTCTGGCTCAGCCCGGGGAGGCGCAGTCAGGAAAGAGTTGAAGGCAGCGTGCTCTTCATACGGCTGCTGGCTCCTCTGATGATCAGTACTATATTAGGTGGGGGTGGGGTGGGGGTGGCCTTTTTCAAAGCAAGTCCCTGACAGTCTCACCAGGAACACTAGGAGGACAAGACACTAGGAGTTTTTCTCAAAGAACCTTGAGTTCCTGAATTCTGGTGGTTGGTTGGTGGGCCTCTCAGCCCTAACCCTCTCAGCACTAACCACTTTTTCCTGGCATTCAGGCTCAGCAGATGAACTTCTATCGGAGAAACACCAAGTGTTGAATGAAGCAGTCATTGGCAAAAAGGTATGATTTTTTTCGGTTTGCAGCTCAGATTTGGCCTAGGCTTCTGCAGTAAACTAGGGCTAATCACAGTCTCAAAGTGTCACAGACTGGCTAAAGGAAATGGGTGGGGAATAATTACCAAGGTGGCTGCTTTTAAAGAGATTCTAGAATAAGAACAGCAAAGTTTCCTTTTAAAGGTCAGCAAACGTGGTTAAATCTGGCCTGCCACTTGTGTTTGTAAGTGGCAGGCACAGTTCTATTTGTATATTTGTGTCTGTATTCTTCAAATAAAGTGGCATGGGAACATAGCCATGCCTGTCTGTTTGCTGTTGTTCTGTAGCAGAATTGTGTGGTTTTAACGAGTATGGCCCGTAAAGCCTAAAAGACTGTCTGGCCTGGCACAACCTTGTAAGCTTACAACCTCTCTGTGCCCTCCTCTAGCTATCTGAGCACCAGCAAAGCCACTGATTGCAGGGATGCATCAGTCTTGGATTAACGTTTGCGCACTTGGGAGGAAGGGTTCATATTTTCCACACAGGAGGGTTCTTTAAAATGGGCTGTAGCGCCCTTTGCTTTGGAGAGAGTAAAAACCAGAGACCTGCTCCTCTGTGAAAACAGCATGGTCCTGCCTTCCCGCAAGAAGAGAGCCCGGGCTCCTCCTCGCATTGTATTTGCCTGAAGTATTAATTGCTTCTGTTGCCCCCTGCAATTAGGTTCCTACTTTGTGATTATCACCATGTTTTCCAGTTACTTGGATTTGCATTAACCAGCCCTCAAATCCATATCACAATAACAAAAGGCCGCAGGAGTATTTAAGCTAATTGACAGCCGCCTTCGTAAACCAGACAGGGAAAAAAGCAGCCTGGAATCCTAGGTTGAGACCCACCACACCACTCAGGGGCCTCTTGATTAATTTCTCTGCTGCGCTGGACGATTCAGGGAGGTCCAGGGGAAGAGGAAGATTTGTTTTCTTTCCCAGAAAACTGGTATTTGGGGGATCCTCAAAAAGAGGCACTGGTCTCCCACCCCCTTCTGTTACTTACCTACTAATAAGATGCCCCAGATGGTGTACCGAAGGGTGGTCTTGTGTTTCCTACAAAAATCATACACTGTGTCATACCTCCTTTCCAGACACCTGCAACAACACAAAAGGCAGAAGTAAACACCAAACATGGAAAGACTGTCGTGCTAAGGCTAGACGAGGCTTTGTAAGCCCAGCAGGCCACAGAACACATTCATGAAGTGTATGTCCTACAAAATAGATGTGGGAAACTCTTTTCCTTTCGGACTAAAATGAGCCATGGCTTGGATCAGTCTTTACTGAAAGGGTGCGCCAACCCCTGAGGGGTTACAGAGATATAGAAAACATGCTTCTGGAAATAGAGCAGGGATGATGGATAACTAACTGAAACCTGAGCATGAATCACAGGGCGAGAGCATCTCATTGGACTGTGAGGACCTCCATTAGCTGTTAAGCCACAGATATTAAATGTTGATTAAAAAAAATCCCGTGAACTCTCATCTGGTTCCACAAAGTTTGAGTGAGTTGGTAGTTATTTGTTCCTCGCTCTCCATACTTTCTCATGGGAGGGAGGCTGAGGGGCTTCACTGTTTGCTCAAAGTGTAAAGTAGGATTTTATAGCTGTTCATCAGCACTTTGTAATACAGCTTTCTCAAAAGTTCTGGAATTGTTGGTGTGTCTTTGTTTCTGTCCAGAGCTTTGTTATAGGGTGGTGGGTGCATCTGGTCACTCCTGGGGAGGATGGTGTCTACCAAGGAGCAGTTTGGAGAGGCCGCAGGGCCATACCCACAGTGACTGTCCTCTGCTTCTCTTGGGGTGCTCCAGATCCCCTCCACACCTAATTGCAAATCGGGCTTCCTGCACATGCCTCTTTCCTCAATGTACCCTGTGATGAAGACCTCTTCCCCGACTTGAGGCTGGATGGAAGGAATATACTCCCACATTTAATCATTCCAACTTCCAGGTTTCTAGATGGCATGTCTAAACGACTTCTCATCCGGTATGGAAGATTCCCAATCTCCAGGGTCTCATGGGCCTCAGCCCTGAGCTGGGACTTCCTCTGGGCTTGTTACTGCCTCTCCTTCCTCCTTCCAGGGGTCATGCCTGCAGGCCCATCAGCCCTTCTCCAGTCCCTCACTCCTACAAAATCTTCTTCATCTCCTCAGAGGGAGTCATTCCTCTGCACTCTTCTCCTACTATCTTCTTTGGCTGTGTTTGGCTGTGAAGCCTCGACTAACTTTCTGGAGAATCACATGTGCCCGGTAGCACCAGCACCTTGGTTGTGAAGAATGCATGACAGGCATTTGTTGAATTACTAGTGATGAGTGAAATGGAGTATACATTACTTATCTGGAACAGCATTTTACTACTGTGGGTTGGGACCCAGAAGTGGGTTGTGAAGGCACACAGTGCATGTAACCACCTTTAAAAAGGAGAGAATAGGGCGCATCAAAGGGTATCACACATAGTAATGATAGGATAGTGTATTTCATGAAACTCTGAATGTCATGGATGTGTGTGAGTCCATGTACTGAGAATTAGAGGCACCACTCTAAAAGATATTGAGAGAATAAAAGTGTAGTAAAGACTAAGTTTTCATGATGTAATTTAGGGAAGGCTGATGATGGCTTAGCCTCGGATTCAGATACAGTGTTTAAAGGTGGCAGGAGTCAAGGGCAACATTCATCTACTTTAGGTTGGATCCATCAAAGTTTTCAATTGCAGGGAATGTGTGTAGTCCATTACAGCAATCTGAGCCTGCATAAAACAGAGTAGCTAGAAATATATTTTCTGGCCATTTGGTATGTAGGCTGAACACCCCTCAATCTCCTCATGGTTATTTCCATCCACTAACATTAGTGAAAGCTGAGTACCTCTGACCACCTAATAGAATCTCGCAACCCTCAGGGTCAGAGATTCTGGAAGTAAAAATGAAGGCTGGAACTAAACTCAGGTTTCCGAGGTAGTAAATATTCTTGATGGTGTGTATGTGATGAGGACTTTCATTCCTCATTCTCACCAACTCCAGAGATGTCTTCGACATACAAAAGCAAGATTCCTCAGAGACAGAGAAATTTAGAAAACTGACAAATACTTCCTTCAGTGTTATGATGGAGTAGCAGACAACCTTAGACTAGGAATCAGAAGCTGAAATGGTTTAAATTAGCTTTGTTCCTTTCTAGCTGACTAACCTTGAGTAAGACAATTCTCAGAGCTTCATTGTCCTGGTCTAGAATATAAAGATAATAATTTGCCTCTCCTACCTAAGTCATGGGGTGATAAGGACTTAGAATATCTGCAGGATACTATTAGGTAGGAGCAAATTCATTGGGATTTAAAGTGATTGGGTTTTGAGAAATCAATTGCTTATTGATTAACATTGAGAAGATGAATGAACTACTTTTGCATGGACTGGAACAATTGGTTGGCAATTTACACTTTTAGTTAGAAGACTGTCCTGGATATTGTGTACCTAGGACATGAGCAGTTAGAATTTACCACATCAATTATTGCAGAACTCCATTATTTTTTTTTCTGGAAATGCTGTTGGGTGGGTAGTGGGGACAGGGGACTGATGCCCACGACAATCTCAAATCTAATAATGTTTACAATCAGATGAGGATATAACAAAGTGGCAAAATTAGAAGGTAGGTGTGGTCATTTCTCTGGTTAAAACCTGTACCCTTTTTGATGCCTCTCTTGATCATCTTCCGTGTCTTCTTTGTTTCTTGGAGAATCCTCCTCAATGGTGACCTGCTCTTCATCCTGGAAACCCAACATTGGAGCAGAGATGGAATAATGAGAGCCCTGGGCATAATGGACCCTGATCTCCTTGGCTCAGAATTTTGGCAAAGAACTTTCAAAAGGTCCTTTAAAATTATTATGCAAGAAGATAGCCCCTGTCAGCTACCTGCACAGACATTTCCCCCTTGTAACAAAAATCTTAGATCACACTTATCCTTCACATTTCTTCCCAAGTTGCTGTTGGTATTTTCCCCTTTTCTTTAGGGAGAGGGTCATATCTCTCCATCTCACTTCTGTCTGTACTGTAATCATTCAGCCCCTGCTCTGTTTTCAGATGAGTGTTAGTGAAGTCAACACCAGAGACTGCATGAATCTCCCTGCCAGCCCTGGTTTCCAAAGGACTCAGACTGAGGCTAGTTTTATTTTCCTGTTTTGGTCTGCAGCTGTGAGTACTAGTTCAGTATCTTCAAGAGCTGATAAACCTTCTCTTGGGAACTGGGATCCTTCTCTTAGTTGGGCTAAAGGGAAATACTTCCCTTCCTCAGCTAGCCCCCACTCTAATTAGTTGAATGAAGTACATACCAGGGCCAGCTTTCCAGGTAGTGTTTGCCCATCCTGTTCTTAGGATAGCGGAAGGATTTCCTGCCTCTCTCCATTCAGCAATAATGGCTAAAGTAGGTCTAAGACTGTGGGCAATGGAAGGGAAGGTGGGGAGGAAGTATGTAGATGTGGAGCAGGTTTGAACATGTTCTACTAGGTATGATGCTTAATGTCAGCTTTTGTTTTCTATCATATCCCATGGGACCATCAATTATGTTTACTTTAACAGAAGTCATAGATCCTCAGAGATCATATTGCCCCTTTGATGCCAAGCTCAATAATACTTCTAATTTAAGCTATCTTTGTTTTCTGGGCTGGATCCCAGGAACCAAGAAGGTGAGAGGAAAATTGCACAATGGACCAGCTCAGCCCAAGCTGCGGCTGCTGAGAACAAGGGTGGAGATGGGCCTCCTCTGTTGTTCCCCTCTAACACCTAGCTTGGCCAATAGCTAAAGTTATGTAAATAGTTGATTTAAATGATTGTTATTATTATTTTCTTACAGTGAAATTACCCCAGGTTACCTACTGTCAATAAAACGTCTAGCATCTATTTTTCTCCCTCACCCTCAAGCCCTTTCCCATCTTTAAAACAAAAGAAGAGCAACATTACTGTCTTTTTGACCCCACAGGCAGACTACATCCTCTCCACTCCTCCCTTCACAGCCAAACCACTTGAAAGAGACGCCTCTCCTTTTGGGACCATCCCCTCCCATCCTGCGCACCCAGCCCACTGTGAGCAGCTGCCACCGACGTGGCGTCTGCCGAGGCCACCCAAGGACTGTTGCCAAATCCAGGAGCTACTCCTCAGTCTTCATATTCCTGTTTATGGTAGGAAAGCATCTAATTTTTTTACTTTAATTTTTTTGAAACAACTTTTTTCTGAAAAGACCTTTATAGAGCAGTTTTAGGTTCACAGAAAATTTGAGTGGGAAGTAGAGGTTTCCCGCTGCCCCCACACACCCGTAGTCTCCCCCACTGTCAACGTCTCCCACTAGAGGGGTACACTTGTTACAGCTGATGAACCGACACTGTTCACCCACACCCAAAGTCCGTGCTTTACATTAGGGTTCACTCTTAGTGCTGTATATTCTATGGGCTTGGACAAATGTATAACGACACGGACCCGCCATTATGGCATCACATACAGCAATTTCTGGGACATTAGAATCCTCTGCGCTCTGCCTCTTCATCCCTCCCTCTCCGCTCGGTAACCGCTGCTTGATTTACTCTCCACAGTTTTGCCTTCTCCAGAATGTCATATAGTTGCAATCATACAGTATGTAGCCAATTTTTATATTGCTTCTTTTCCTTAATAATGCACAATTAACATTCACCCGTGTCTTTTCATGGCTTGGTAACTCATTTGTTCTTAGCTCTGAATAATATTCCATTACTGTCTGGATGTACCACCGTTTGTTTACCCATTCATGTACTAAAGGACATCTTGGTTGCTTCCAAGTTTTGACAATTATGAATAAAGCTGCTTAAACATCCATGAGCAGGTTTTGTATGTATGGAAGTATTGTTTTCTTTTTTGTTGTTGAATAGTATTTAGTGAAATGGACACTTTTTATGATATGTTAAGTGAAACAGATGAATTAATATGTATAATATGATCCAGCGCAGGCTCATGCATGCATGTGGGTATATATTTGCATTAAAAGGCCATATTCCAAGATGTTAGACACTGATTTTTTTTTCTAGAATTACAGGGGTTTTTTTTTCCTTCCACATTTTGCTGCAGTATTTTTCCAAATTTTCTATTTCAAACAAGTTATTCTTTTTATCATGAGGGTGACTCCCTCTGATAGTAGCTCAATAGCAGGCACCCAGAATTACTAAATTGTGGATAATTTGCTTGCTTTTTTAGCAGAAGGCTTTCTTCCAATGAGATCCTACCCAGAATTCAATATATAAAAGAAGGAAAAGCAGTGTTCTGACAAAGTGCCTCAGCCTGCTGGGTAGATTTAGGTGTCTCTGAGGAGCCCTAGAGCGTGGTGGAAACTGTTTCTGAAGTGTATCTTAGAACCTTCCTCATCTTCCTCTTCCTCACTTACTTTAAGATTGATGCTTTTGTTTAAGCCAGTGTTTTCTGCCCGTGGATGGAGCTTGGAATCTGTAATAGTGAAGTGTCAGAGAAGCCCGGGTAGTCTCCTATCAGAGAAGTCTGAGCACAGGTGTGTACACAAAACCTCTTTGTTTGAGCATGTGTGTTTTCCTCACGACTCTACCTTGAACACTCTAATTACCATTTAATTCGTCCCTCTGAGTGCCAGCTGAGTGCCATGCTTTCTGTCCCCATGGCTCTCAGGTGCTTGCTGCACAGCGGTTACCATGGTAATAGAGTCACTCAACAATCTCCGGCATACCTGGTGGGGGTTTATGTGTTCTCTGCTTTGCACAGCTCTACTTCTCATCGAGGTGTTTTCTGATGTGTTCTGTTTTTCAGGAATGTTATCTTCATTCTAAGAAAAAGTACAGATTGCAGAAATAAAATTTCAGAACCCAAAATAAATGTTCTGTTAATGAATGACACCCTGAGGAATTTTGAGGGATGGGGCAGCAAAGATGAGGTGTTTAAGTGCATCAAAGGATGAAAGAAAGAACCAGTGAATCCTGGGCCTGTGAAGAAACAGAGATGAGTCATGTTTTGTTCCCATGAGACAGATTAATGTGTTCCGACCTGAGGAGCAAGGAAAGGACCGGCCGCACCTGACTCGGTCAGACGACTTGCTGCGAAGCAGAGCAGAGGTGATGGTCGCTTTCCAATCTCCTTACCATCACTCAGGCTGCCAACTTATAAAATAAAACCAGATGTAGAAAACCATAGGCCAGATAATTTTATTCTGAGATGTTGGATTTAGGAGATGTTAAAATGTGTTTTGTTTGGTTTAAAGTGAACTCTGGTAGTAATGAGAGTAAGAAAATCTTGTGTGAGGCAGCTTGGTTTCGCTTAAAGGAACTGAGTGAGATGAGCTCTTGGAGGAGTGTCCTGGCCCCTTTGCTGCTGTTTCCGGATGTGACAGAAATCTGGCTCGTTTCTCTTTTATTTTTTTTGACAGGGGGTGTGTTGAGTCCAATCTTTCTCTCATCTCATCTCAACTTGCCTTTTAATACAATGCTTCATTCCAAGTTAGGCGAAAGATAGATAAATGGTGTCCAGTAGGTCCCTACGTCTTTTCAGGATATGTCTCCCGCTAGCCCTGTCAGCTGTGACCTTTGTATGGCTTTGATTTTTACTTTGTATCTCTTCATGGTTCTAAGGATCTAGACAAAAATTACAATGCCAAATTGCATTGCATTTTCCATTTCCACTGGAGTATACAAACATGAATAAAATCTAACTTGCAGCCCACACATAATTAATGCATAGAAGTCTTGTTGCCACTTTGTGTTGTTTATATCTTACGTTAGCGCAATTTCCTGCATGCAGCGGACACCAACAATTATTTGTTGAATTGATGAACCATGGTGATTCTAATGCTGTATTAACTGGTACAGCAATGCAGTACTCGGGATACTTTGTATAAAAATATAATAGGGGGACTGTATGTAGTATGAAAGATGACACAGTGTTGCTAATCACTGAAGCTGGCTGATGGGTTCTTGGGGACTCATTTTGCTATTCTTACTTTCATGGATGCTAACGTTTTCCTTAATAAAATGTTAAAAATAAAATCTAGCATGAGTTGGTGGAAAAACAGGACACAGGTAACTGAGGAGGCTGGTCATCAGGGTCCGTGATGACCTGTGTGATGCTGCATAGGTGACATCTAAGCCTCAGTGCACCCATCCAGACAAGAGTTTGATTTGATACTGTTCCCTTCTGAAATCCTGACATTTCCTGGTTCCATGAGCCACTTGAGCTTCTTGATGCTGATTATTCCTGCCACCTTGTGGCAGAATCTGAAACTTCTTGAAATAGAGCCTAACTTCTAAAAGTGACAGAAAGAGGAAGAGGGCTGTACGTTTGTGTTTCTGGGAGGCCGGCAGGATGGGCACAGTGGAACAAGAGCATCGCTGGATGTATTTTATAACATGTACTTTACCCCTACAGAGTACACGCCTTGGCTTTTTAGTATTTTCAGGAAGAACAATGTCTCCCATTTGAAGATTTCTGACTAAAATAATGATGGTGTTGTGGGTGTTGATTGGTGCCTGAAAAGTGACTCTTAAGGCACCTGTTTCTCTGCTGCTTTTCAGATTGGAGTCACAGGGCTGGAATCTGGGGCCCATACTTCCTTCTTAGTCCATTGTTTCTTTCCATCTATTTAGCAGTTCTGTTACTAGGTACCTTGGTACGGGGAACCACAGCTGTGACTGTGTTGTAAGTGAAGCCTGTCACTCTACAGGATGGGTAACAATATTGTGGCCTGGTGTGTGAGTATTTCTAAGTCATTTACAGCACTCTGCTTTTAATTTTTCTTGTTAGCGTTAGTTGCTGGGTGTACTTAGTCCTGCGCTGAGCCCCTCTGATGCCGCTCAAAGGCAAATCCTTGAGCCAGAATACTCCCAGGACTACAGATACACAGTGGGTGTTAGATGGAGGACAAATGTACTGAAGTCTTTCTATTATTTTTTCCTTTCATTCACTTTCTAAACCATGTAACTTCTAGAACATAGAAAATTATTGAAACCATTTCCTTCATCTATTTGTGGTCTCCCCTTTCATAGAATTTTAGCTGAATACAGAGCCACCCAGAATAAAGGCTACATTTCCAAGTTTCAGTTATAACTAGATTCTGACCAATGAAATGTAAATGGAAGTGATGCCTGAGTGGGGCAACGGGGGGACACTCCTGAATGGCTGGCTGGCAGGTGCTCTTTGTCCCTTTCATCCTTTCCCCCAACTGCCTGGTGTGTAGATACTTCCAGCCTGGTTGTGAACATAAGGGCCCCATACTGGTGATGTCAGAGCAGTGAGTTCAGGAAGGACTTTGGTCCTGGAAAACCTTGAGCAGCTTCCACCCAGCTCTGTCTATCCACTTCCCAAATTTACTGCAGGAAACAAACTTCTCCCTTATTACTTTTGGTTTTTGCTTTCATGTGCAACTGAACTGACATAAGACTTAGACATGAGGTTAAACCCTTTGAAAGTTTTGTATTTGACCCAAAGAGACCTGTGAAAAGGTGCTGTGATCTCTGTTTTTACAGATGAAGAAACGAAGGCAAAGATAAGCAAATTGCTTGACTCAGGTTGCACACTCAGAAATAGTGAGATGGGCTCTGAACTCAGACTGTCCCAGCTCAGACTGTGTGGTGCCTGAAGTGTTCGGCCCTTGGGCCAAGACCCTATTGTTGCAGGCAGTTGCATCTGGGGTGGTCTCTGCCTGCACACTATGTAAAACCTCAACCCTGATGGAGGAGGGTTCTTGACTCTGATCGGGAAAGAATTCTTGCCCAGGTCAAACAAGTGTCAGTAAGAAAGGAATTCATTAAAACAAAAGTAGAAGCAAATGTCAGCAGCCATGCAGGCAGCAGAGAGCAAGGAAGAACAGAGGCAGGAAAGGGAGGTTCACTTGAGCTCCTGCTCGGCATAGGGCAGATATCCCTTGCCAACTCCTAAAGGCAGGGTCACCTGGCTTCCAGCGTCTGCTTGATCTGCACGGCATGAGAATTATATCTTTACCACCCCAGAATTTGAGGGTGCTGTGGAGCACTGGATGGAGTGAAATTATGTTCTGAGAACTTCCACTTTGCTACTGGTCTGAAATATAACAGGGAAGGAGATAAAAGGATTATGTAAGACTAAAAAGCTGTATGAAATAGCAAAATGACAAAGACATTTACCATTGGAGGTGGAGGTTGGAGAGTTCTTGTCTTTATCCTGGAAAAGAGTTCAAAGACAAGTGCAACTGGCTTATGTAGTAAGAAAGTTTATTTGATAAGACAGTACACACTCAGATGGGAGTGCAGGTGACCTTAGAGAGGAGGTGCATTTAAGGAAAAAGGTTATTTGGGCGATTGTGTTGATCCAGGTCTTGGCATTCTTTATCAACATAGGTTCAGTTACAATTTCGAAGTCTATCTCTTGTCCTTGGTTAAAAAGTTACTTAAGTGATTAAGGGGCTGCAAGAAGAGGAAGAACATCATATAGCTTAAGTTAAAGAATAAACCAGGTCTTTTTTGCAGGTTAAGTAGATTTTACAATGGAATGACCCTTGTCCCATTTCCCTGCTCTGTCTCACTTGGGCCTTGGGAATATCTAAAGATGTAGTAGTACACCTACAGATTAGATTTCCTTATCAGTTAGGAAGGCCTGACTTGAATCCAGATATTAAAAGACAAAAGTAGAAATGGTGGATTCTTGAAATGCTTGTGGCCACTTTTAAACTATGTTTAGGCTCTGGTGCTCATTTCTCAAGCTAGAACAGCAGCCCTCCTACCCTGTTGACTGGTTTTAAGTAGATGCCATGCTTTAAATAATACCAATGGGCACTCCTGTGTCTGTGGCCATGTCTTGTCTCCATTATTAGTTTGATGTTTTTTCTTCTAACTGTGTCTGCTCCACACACATGGTCTCTCCCTTCCAAGGCAGCTCTGATTGTATGATGTGATTTCCATTTCTGTTTCTGTGGCCAGGGTTTCTCTACGGCAGACTCGACACCACTGTACCAGGGATGCCTTACTCCCACCTTCTTTAGAGAAACTACTCTGCCCCCTTTCACTTCGAGTGTGTGACTGGCCTTGCTGAGGGCACAGGTGCACTTGAAGCAAGAATAGGTACCTCCCCCCTCTGCCCTCCACCCCCCATGCCCCTGGGAGTCTTTCATCCTGACCTTTGGTGGGGTATAGATCATAGGTTTAGGAAAGATGGGAATGGCTGGTCGCCAAATGTGATTCTGATAAGGACCCCGATGAATTGCTATGAAGACCTTAAACTGGTTCCAAAGTTGGAAACTTCACAGTGAATTGTTTGATGTTATACCTCGGCTGGAAGGCTTTATACTAACAGAAAAGATTTAGATCAGTTATCAAAGTGGCTTACTTATTTTATTGTGTGTGTGTATAAATGTGTCCATCTAGCTATCATCTATCCATTTACCTATTTACCCATCTTCACATCCCTGTACACCTTTAAAGCAATCTTCTTAGAAGCACTGGATGTGAAACATTCTGAGGCGTGATGCCTTAAATATTGTCACAATGTCAATGTCCTAATGCCTGTGACAAAAATGGAAACATGATATTGGTTGGATTTTGGACTGTGTAAATTTGTATAAATCTATATTATTCTTACTGGACTCTAAACTGAGAAGCCAGATACTTGGTCCCCTGTTCTTTGCTGAATACCATGTGCATAGCACAGTGCCAGGCATAAAAGGGCTTGATAACTTTTTTGAATGAAAAGGTATTCCTGGGGGCTGTGAGGTTACTACAGTAGCAGCTAAAACAGAGTCTCTACAGCAGAGGAGAGACTTGATGGCAGGAACTACTTTCCCTGCTTTGCCAAGACGTTATTGTACGTTCTAACATTCTACCTCAAATACTAAGTTAAGATTCCAAGATGCAAGCTTAATAAGAAGTGGCTCACCATAAACTTTAGGATGACTGCCTTCTGCAATACTGATATATTGCTATATTAATTGGTGCTACATTGTGAAAAGAAGGTTTTGGTACATCATCATAACCTGGGTTCAAATCCAAACTTAATTTCTTGAGGACTCATACCCCATTATATAGGAAATGCAGCATTCATTACCCTCTCTGTGGGCTAGTGTGGCCAGTCCAGTGCCATACACAGTAAATGCTCATTGATTTTTATGCTAATTTTATGGTTTAATTTGATACTTGTCTGCTTGCTCTGGGGCATTTAGAGTCATTTTGTTGCACTGTTGAAATTTGGCTTGTAAAAGTCAACAATCTATTTGAGAATTTGACCTCTTTAATTGTTTGAGAACATTCCTCCATCCCCCCAGCTTTTAAAATAAAAAAAAAATCTGTCCCCTTTTGCTTCGAGTGTGTGACTGGCCTTGCTGATATCTGCAAATATCAAACATTTTAAGGCCATTTCTCTACAATGTTTCCTCCAAACTGCACGGACTTGTCTTGGGATGATTGCATTTTCAAAGGCAGTGTTCCAGAAGTCTTTGATCTGGCTCAAGTCTCAGGTTTATCTGACCCTTAATGCGAGTTAGTGGTCACTACAGAGCATTCCTCCCTGAGGTGGCTGTAAAAGGAACCATTAAAAAGAACCAAACAAAAAATATGTCTTCAGAAGAAACCAAACAAAAATAAAGAACATGCAAACCATACAGTGAAAGATTTTGAAAAAGCACAACATAAAATGAGAGGAGCTGTGATCAAATAAACCTATCTGGCAAATCAATGGATTTGATTGAGGCGGGTGGAATAATACACAAAACACATAAAGAGACAGTCCCCAATTTACGATGGTTTGACTTAGGATTTTTTGACTTTATGATGGTATGAAAGTAACAGGCCATTTAGCAGACACTGTATCTTGAATTTTGATCTTTTCCTGGGCTCAGCAATTCATATTAACAATATTCTCTTGTGATGCTGGGCAGTGGCAGTGAGCTGCAGCTCCCGTCAGCCCTGCAGTCATGTAACAACTGATATACTTGGAATCATTCTGTACCCACACAACCATTCCAGTGCAGTATTCAATAAATTACTTGAGATATCCAACTTTATTATAAAACAGGCTTTGTGTTGGGTAATGTTGCCCAATTTTAGGCTAATATAAATGTCTGAGCATGTTTAAGGTAGGCTAGATTAAGCTATGATGTTTGGTAGATTAGATATGTTAAATGAGTTTTTAATTTGCAATATTTTCAATTTATGATGGGGTTATTAGGGCATAACTCTACTGTAAGTTAAAAATCTGTACTGAAAATTACTCAGTGACCCAGAAAGGTAAACATGCAGTGCTCATGATCTTACTTAACTAGGGCTGAATACAGGATCAAAAAGCAATTCATGTGGCCAAAAAAAGCAATGATCAGTGTTGGGTGGATGTGTAGATATAAGCGGGTAGAGAGAGAATTGAGGCCAGTAAAGCCACTAAAAGGGACTCAAAGAGTTAACCAGGCAAAACTAGAGAGCCAGAAAAGGCTCACAGAATTAATCAGTTGAGGCTCCAAAGGCCAGGAGTAACTTGGAATATCCAAATGTTCTCCAGATAAAGAAAAGTATCCGAGGGCACAGCCCATGTCTTCATTGTGTCAATTAGATCATGCCACTGTAAGATTTACTTTAGCCTGCTAAAAGGCCCAGCTTATTCTTTAACTTAACCTATATGCTGTTTTTTCCTCCTCCAGCCCCTAATCAAGTAATTTGCAACCTGGGCAGGAGACAAGCACAATGATTAATTCAGCAAACAAGCCTAGATATAAACAGCATAGTAAGAACAGGAAAGATTCCACCTTAAAGCTAAGATTCCATTTTAAAAGCCAGGAAGTTAGGATGTAAGATTCTTAACATATTCTTTAGCAAACAGAAAATAACCTTGATTGATATGTTCCCAGAGGGAAGCTGCTATCCTGGGAAGGAACTGGATCAGTAAATTTCTTGTGTTAATTTTTCCAAATTACCTAGAAGACTGATAATAGAAGAGAAGAGATTTATTATCTCTCACCAAAGATAAACATCTTGAGACCAGTTAACAAGTCTACATTCCCTAGCCCTTTGTCACATTCCTGAAAAATCCTTACAAAAGGGAACCCCCAACCTTTCAGGGTGTCTCCTCTCTGAGGACTCCCAACTTTCTCTCTCTTTAAGTGCGTAACTTCAAATAAAAATTTTACTCTGCTTCACTACTGTGTCTCTGCCCTTCAATTCTTTGTTGCGGTGGAGACAAGAACTGAGGAAAATAAACACTGTTAAGTCAGGGTACAATCTTACAGTCTGAGAAGCACAGCTATCTGTGTACAAATAGCATAGGTCAACATACAGAAAACACAAAGAGAAGTACCTAGCAACATATTTAGAAAGAGGGTGATGAACTCTTTCAGTCGATGCCAGATCAAATGGGCAGAAACAGGGACAAGGAAGACCAAAATAACAATGAACAATGTGAGTCCAGTGAAGACCCACTGAACTCTATCACTTGAACCAAAAATACATTGTGGCCGAGACTGTTAGCTGTCCCCAGTATCTGTTCTTCCCCTTTATTTTAGAAATAGGGCTTTGTGTTTTAGCAGGCCCAAGATTTCCCAGAATAAAAGTACATTTCCTACCCCAAGCCACCCAGGCTGTGATGGAGCTCTGCCAGTGACGGAAGCTGCTGGCAACTTCTGAGAAGTGTCTTAGAGCAGGACAGTGGGTGGTGCCTTCGGACCTCTTTCAGAATGTTTTAAAATGTGTAAAAGTAAATACGCAGGATGAAAAAGAATATATTGAATCATATTCAATAGGATTATATTGAAATGTAGGTATTAGCATATTAAATTTAATCTGTGATCCAACCAAGTATATGCATCTTTATTAACACATTAAATAACAAGGCAAAAGGCCCCAGGGGCCAGTTCTCATGACTACCTTAGTTTCAATGCCATGGATGTAACTTACATTTTGAGGTATTTGCAACAGATATAAATTCCTTTTTTCCACTTGTCTTTATTAATTCAATGTAGTGAGCGTCCTTTTGCATCTTTGACATCCATTTCAAACAAGGAATTCTACCTCCTCCTGGTCTGTGGGCTGGAATATGCTCTTTCCCCCTAAGGCCCCTGTAGAAGGCTTCCTTGTCCACCCTCCACCCAATCTATTTTAGTTATGAAACAGCCATAAATGGGAGAATATGGACACTTGTAACTTGTATATCTTGGTTTCACTTTTGTATCTGTCCATATTGTCATCCAGTAAAATCTACTATTGGTGGAAATCAATACCCAGGAATAAAGGCCTTAGCATCGTGTTTATGCAGTTTCTTAAAATAAACAGTAAATGGTAATGTTTAAGCAACCTGCTTAATTCTGTCTGAGGCTGTCATATGATTTTTCTAAAAGTCGTCATTTTTTCCATCAGAATTCATCAGTCCCAAGTTATATTTAGAAGATGAAATGCAGATTAGCTTTCAGTGTAATTCTTGTGCCAGACCAGACAGGCTCCAGCGGGCCAACACTAGTTGTTGCTGCATGAAATGGCCACTTGGTGGCACCACTCCATCAATGCTGTAAATACCCCTGCCGGCAGGGCCAACTCTAGGCTCCACTTCTGATTCTGCAGGTCTATTGGCTTTGGAAGCAGGAAGCTAATTGAAAGCATTACTACGCTAAACTGAGGCCTTGTTTTTATATACTATAAATGTTTACATTATATGTTGTCTCTAGGGTGGTCATATCTAAATTCAATCCTTGTCAGAAAGCATTCTGAGATCCCTGGGCAAGTTTGGGATAAATTGAGCACCAAAAAGTAAAAAAACATGAATGTCTGCAACTTAATTTGTGTCAAAAGGTAAGATGGATTGTTGGGTGGGTAGAGGGTATGATAACTGAATAAATATTGAGAAAGCAAGACTAGTAAAATATTAATTGTAGAATGTAGGTGGTGGATGTATAGGCATTCACTATGAAACTCCTTAAATTTTTCTGTGTTCAAAATTTTTCAGAGTAAAATAGGAGAAACAAGTTGGTAATAGATTATAAAACATTTAATTAAAGAAGAATGTTAGTCCATAATACTCAAAAAGAGGGAGAGGAAGATGAAAAGAGGGCAGTCTATTCTTTTCCTCCAACCAAGTGAGGAAAGGAATATTAAAGAAATGAAAATCAGCACTTTGCAGCTCCCAGAGTAAAAGTTGATTCAGGAAAGGTTGTTAATGGATGCTAAAATCCACATTGGGTGCAATGTGTTGGCGAACTGGATAGTCACATAACCTTGAAGTATCACCTCCCAATTACTTACTGATTAGAGAAATGTGCCTTTATAATGGAGGGGTCTGCTCATTACCATCCTAACCAAGTCATCACCAATAGCGGAGTTAAATTTCTCCAAATGTACTTTTGTATATATTTGTAATTTCTTTTCTACGTGCAGAGTTTCCAGAGCCTGGAGCTAGCCAAAAGTCATATACAGGAAAAATTATACACTCTGAGACATCACTGACTTTCTCCAGCTGGGCGACCTTTCACTCTTAAGGGAACTTTTGATTTTTGTGTCAATAATGTGTGTTTGATAAGGTGTGATTTTTTTTTTGGCCTGATTCTAATTTCCTGCTATTGTTTCTTGCCTTTGACTCAGGCTGATTTGTTTGAATAGTGGAAGACCCTCCCCAAAGAACTTCTGCTATACGTTTGAAAGGGAGAAGACCAGAGAAGTGTCCAGGTGCCCAAGGAGAAGCTAATCCCCGGAGCCACAATGGGACATCGCCTGGACTCCTCACCCAGGGCTGGGCCAGGCACACAGCTCTGTGCTTCCCCACACTCTCCTGTACTCAGCCCTCCTTCCCTTGATTCTCTAAGATTTGCATCCTTATCCATTTTTTATTGCTGTGAAGCCAAAAATTCATAGATAAATGTCCTTTCTCCCCTTATTAAAAACCACTCTTCCAGCTGCACTTACTGGTTGCCATGGTCTATTCGAATGTTTGTGTACTCCCCAAATTCATTATGTTGAAACCTAAGCCCCAAAGATGATAATATTAGGAGGTGGGGTCTCAGGGAGGTGCTTAAGTCAGGAGCCTGTCAGCAACCATTATCCAAACCAGTTAGCTGGGGATGCTGTTTTCATGCAGGCCAAGCCCAAATTGAAATCCAGGTGTGAGGTCTGCCTCTTTGTATAGCAAATACTGGAATCCACAGACAGAAAAATCATGGAAGATGCCAGCATGCAACTTTGAATTGTTATGTCAGCCGAATGTAAACCTCAAGGCCCTGAGGTCCCAGCATCTGAGTCTTTTCAAAGGACTTTATAAAGTTTTTTTTCAAATATTTTGGTTCATTCTGATCCATGTATTATTTAGTCAAATGCAGTTCTTAAAAATGTGTTATATGTTGTAAAGTTGTTATTTGTGTTTCTGATTAATTCACATTTATTTAATCAACACTCTTTGGAAAGAAGTGCTTGATGGCCAAGGTGATTTTAGAAATCCCCAAAAACAACTTCCCGTATGTAAGCAGATGCAAATGACTCTGATGTAATGATGGAGCCTCTTTAAGGCCTCACTATTAACTGCTCTGGCATGAAATAGCCCAGCTCAAAGTAGGACTAATACTTAGTAAGTGCCCACAACTCCCCCAAATAGCAGAGGAACAAGATAGGCACAATGAACCCAGGCTTCATCCTGGAGGTGGTCCAGGTTTTGACACCAAATACATTTTTATATACAAAAAACAATCTATAATTACCCTGCAGTCTGAATTTTGACCCCTCCAGATTGATTGGAGATTTATGAATTAAAAATAAATCAGAGAAGGAAATGAGAATAATAAGAATTTTAGTTTCGATCAATATAGTCAAAGGAATTATATCCTTATCTCTTTAATTTTTTCTCAGCCGTAGGAAGATGTTTTGCTGGGAAGGGCATTTCTAGTTTCCCTATGACTAAACATGTTGCATCTTTGGAATTTCAGACACAGCCAAGTTCAATTCAATTAACTTGCACAGTAATACAACCTGCAGAAGTTGAACTTTAAATAATCTTTATTATGACTGTAATTAAATAAGCATGTGTATAATTTATGGCTGACAGCTTCTCTTCTAAATTTCCCAGAACAGGGACCATATATGTAATCCCCAGCAACCAGCACACTGTCTAGATCATAGCAGGTGCACAATAAATATTTGTTAGAAGAACAAATGTGCGCACCTAGGACAGAGCCCAAGGGACTGCACATAGCATTAAGGGTTGAGTAGAAAGGCTGAAATGGTACCGGAAAGGGAGAAGAGCTGACACTTCAGCATTTGCTAGGTGTCAGTGCTTCACATTAGTCTCCCAATGGGCCTGTGATGCAAGGTATTAGTACCTATTTTTGCTTAGGAAATAGGTGCAAAAGTTAGGTAACTTGCTTAAATGGTGGGTCTGACAGCCTGGTTCTTCACCCAAAGAACTTACACTTTACCCTCCTCAAAATGATTCTTTATGTGGCTTTTAGCATCAGTATCTATGCCTTGCTGTCAGACCCCAACCCCACCCCAGTCTGAATTTCTTCAGAAACTCACTGCTTTCCTTCCTTACCACTTCCTCCTTATGTCCTGCCAAGGTCAAGGTCACATACAGGACAGGCAGTATGTAGAACATTACAGACCACCTCTTACTCCCACTTGTGGTTTCTAAATTCTTCCTTCCTTCTTTCTTCTTCTCTCTTTTCTCACCTAAAGACTTCACTGCAGGGGAATGAGGAAGTAGCCGTGTGGACCAACAGGAAGCCTTGCATTTGCTGGCCCCTAGAAATGTTTTCTGTTGGATTTGTGCAAGTCTTTGTCTTTCTACCCCCTCCTTTGTGGATCCAACATACTGTGTAAGTAGACCTTTGCCCTCCACCGGGTTTGTCTGCGTCAGTCTGGCCCTTGAGCAATTTTTGTTTCAAACCTCTCCGGCTGCCTGTTAGACTGGTATTCTCTAACCAACTTCCTCCTTACAAATGTTCCTGAACCAATGGAAGCTGGTAGATGAGAAACTGAAGATACAGTAATGTGAATTAGAAAAATAAAAATTCTTTAAAAGCTAGCAAAGTTGTAAAGGAATATTATTGAAAGGGAGAGACACTGACAGGGAAGTAGGACCCATCAGTAGATAACTGCACAATTAAAGATTGTGCTATTTGGAACTATGGTATGCTCCCAAAGTTGAGCAGGTCAGGAGAGTAAGGCAACTAGATAGTCCAGAAGGGGAGCAGATATGCCTCTCTTGGCCCCTTTGAACTTTGACTAACACTTTCTCATGGTGCAAAAGCCTTGCCTCACATTAAATGGGCTGTTTTCAGACTATGTTTCATGGAGGAGTTACACCATTACTTTATTTACAACTCCTTTTAATATGGCTGACTAGTTTGTCCTAGAATGTTTCTGTCAACACAGAACAGCAATTTAGTTTTAAACCTAAACTTATCATTGATTTTGGATCCTTGGGACCAAGATTTTGAAATCAGTAGAGAGGCTTGAAGCAAGTAAGAACTTTCTTCTCTTCTGTCTGTTTCTCTTTACTGCCCTTTCTACCTCCCTGTGTATGCTTCTCAGACCTTCCCATTCAGGAGGTTGACTTCTCCACATACTGTACTATGGGCAAAATAGGTCTTGACATGGCATTTTTGGGGATAATTTGTGCCCTACTGGGTATTTTCCTTCCACCTGGCACAGAGTATATGTTTGTTGAGTGAATGAATGAAAAAATGAAAGCCTGTAAGTGTTCATTTGGAACAGTTAGGAAATTCCCCAACTCCCAGTCCAGGTGAGATCACCTCCTCACATCATGAATAGCACTTTTTATAAACCGTGTTGTGCTGGATTGTCATTGTCAACTAATTTTAACTGAACAGTAGTAGCTGTGCTTCCAACTCCTAACATAAAGCATGGCACAGTGTCAGAGTTCAATAAATTTCTGTTGAATCAATAAATACTACGCTTATGTCAAAGACTTTTGGCTCTCAGAGGAAAAGCAAACAAAGCCTTGAGTTTACAGAACCAGGATATTGGAAGGAACATTGATAGGTCTTCAAGTACATTTCCCTGTTTCCTGATTGAGCCATTCTTGGTAATCATCTACTTTGTTCCTGAACACCCACAAGAGGCTCCTTAACCACACGATTCACAGGATTTTCATAAGAAACCTCTATCTGTATTTACTTCCAAAGGACAAGAGACATGGAAACCATCATTTTATCTTTCTTTAATTTCTTTTCTTAGGAAAAAGAAAGAACAATCAAGCACGTCAAGGCTGTAAGTGGCTTCTGGGTCAAACACAGCCTATGTGTGGTAAATGTCCAGATCCTGGCTTTGAGTGACAATCATGCTGCAGTTTATCTAAATCTTCAGTGTGAAGACAGAATTCCAAACTTCTGTGGAACAATAGAGACTTGGAGTTCCTGCTCGCAATAATCTGTTCCATCTAAAATTTCAAAACCTCAATTTCAAATTTTCAACAATTCAATTCCAAATTTCAAATACCTTTGATTTTTTTCAATTTGACAAATAATAGTTCAGTTTGCCTCCAGGGCCAGTTTCTTGTCATCCACAGTGTCTGGATGAGATGGGTCAGTAGGTGTCACCACCTTCATTTTAAATTTAGAGACTGTAGACTAGAAGTTTGAAAATTAGTAATGAAAAAAGAAAACTAGAGCCTAGCAACTGGTCTTGAATCTGTCCTAACTGAGATAAGAGCATTTTTTTCCCTCTGAAAACTTCTGTATCTTACTCTATGAAGTGTGGGGATGTACTTGCAGGACACATTGCCTTGTGAGCCAATTGAAACTGGTGTTCCTGTGCTGATCATTGTTATTCCAATGATCCTTGGATCACTGCTGATATGATGTCTGCATGGAAATACATGTAGAACCAGAGATGGATAACAAACTAGGTCTTACTCCATGCAATCACTGTGGAGAGCCAGAAAAGAATCTGTTGGAATCAGGAGGGTATCTCTCTAGGGATATTCACAGTAGAAAAACCTAGGATTTAATCTAATTCTTTTCCAATGACCATTAGATGCTTGAATGCTTCCCCCAGTTTAGTAAAAGGTGAAAGTCATGGCCGAAAGCCTTAAAATCTTAGTCTTTGCTTTACTTACCACTCATCACCCAATGCATTCCAGCCTACTGTACTTCCAGTCCCCTGAATCAGAGATGTGGCCAGTAACATTCCTCACCTGATCATGCACATACTCCCTTCTGACATGCCTGACATTGCTGTGGAAATCTAAGGTTGTTGGTGACGTTAGGAGGAATGGTAGAGGGAGGACCTACAAAACCTATCCTTTATATAGCAAAAAGAACACTGGCAATCAAAATCACTTTTTCAGAACTCTGGAAATCAACCAAAGGCTTGCAGTAATCCAGAGAGGTTTTTTTTTTTTTCATCCCAAGTAAAATGATTGAATCCAAAACAGCAAGCTTTGTGCTGTCTTAATTCTCTAGTCCTATTCCCCTCTCCTCAGACTCATGATAGCCTTGAAAAACAATTCTGCAATCACAATAAAACCGTCATCACAAGCCTATGGAGGGGGCAAAATGAAGTTGGTACTCTCCCAAAGTCCAGTCCCCAGATTATTGTCATTATTTAACCTTTCAGTTCCTTACAAAATCCAACTTGCAAGACACATCTTCATTTAACTGGACTCAGATCTCACCTCGTACTACTTCTTTGGGATCAACTGTTTAAGATAGCCAACTGCCTAAGATAGTCAGCAGCTGGAGAAGATAAGCTAAGCAAAAATTTAAAGGAAAAGCTTGGGAATGAAATATCTATAAGGGACTTTGAAAAGCTCTGACATTCCTGGGAATCTAGAAGTCCAGGCACATACCCAAGGTTGTGTTCATGTCTGGAAAGGGCCTGGTAAGGACAAAAGCTTTCATCTCTGGCTGATCTTGAAACTCAACAGGAAGCAGGAAGGTGAACATAAGAGCTGTAAACTGCCTGCCTGAGCACTGAAGGCAAACCCCACAGCATGCACATAGGGCTCTTCGCAAAGACTGGGACATATATTGGTTCCAGCCACGTGAAATTTATGTCCAAACCATAGTTGATCATCAAGTTAACTGAAAAAAGTCTTTAGTGGTGAAATATGACAAAAAATGCAGACTACGTAGAATCAGTTAAGTCACTAAACAAACAAACAGCAACAACAATAACAACAACAGCTACACACAGACAACAGCAAACCTTGGGGAAGGAGGAAGGTTTCTGTTTTCCAGATTTGCCATATTATTTAAAATGTCCACTTTTTTACAAAAAAT